GACGGCGGAAGGCGGGATTTGTGCTGCATGAAAGGCTTGTAAATAAAAAAGCAGCCGGGCTCAGGTGAGAATTATGAGGTGACGAGGGTCAAGGCTCGCGAAAGAAACGCCGCCGACCGCTCTCGAGCACCACATACTAGCCTAGGAAGATTTTCTGCAACTCGCAGCACCCCCGGCGGCGCGACCTTAATGAGCACCATTGTGCTCGTTAGTTTGCAGCACCAAAATTAAAATATAAAAATATATGAAATGCATGTTTGAATTCCGGGTTACTTTGGACATGCTTAAATTATATTGCAAAAATAATGCAATTTTTCGATTAAATCAATTAATTGCAGTATTTTTACAATTAATAAAAAACATTTTTTTTAAATATAAAATGACAGTTCCAAAAAATTTTAACTTATTTGAAATTATGAATTTTTCAAGATTAATTTTGTTTTTTGTCTGTCAATTATTATTTTCATCTAAAAATTTCTTCAATAATTGAATGTGATTCTTAAAATTAATATGTGAAAAGCATTAATAATGATTTTGATTAAATTTGCAAATCCTCCTAAAATAGTAATTTCCTAGCTGTTTGAAACAAATTTGTCTTTATTTTAATTTAAAAAAAAAACTTCTAGACAAAGGGTTTGTCAACCTGCTAGTCCCCTTGGTTGTAAACAACGTTCTCGAACGACTTGTTACACTTTGATTTCTAATTAAAACTTACACGACGAAACAAGAAAATCAACCCGCGCGAGGAAAGAAAAAGTATAAAACCGCGAGCGACGAGTGACAAATCAAAACCGCGAGCGAACTCCTCTGCTGCTACTCTTATTAGACCCCGACACGTTGTAGCCAATAAATTAAAAAGCTCGCGAGAGAGGCAATTTGGTGCGGCGGCGGTTCATTTGATTTTTCCTCACTTCTTTGATCTACGCAGCCAAGTCTCAGCTTATTACTCAACTTGTTCATTTATTTAAAAATAAATTTATATGTATATTTACCGGAGCGGGCGTTGAAAATATTAAATTTATGAAAAATTGTATTTCCTTTTACTTGCACCTGCTCTCTACATTTTTGTGACAAAAATTTGACCTGAATTAAAAAAGAGTTCAGCTCTTTGTGTCCTCGCTTCGTGCTGGGGTCTAAGCCTTTTAATTGGCGAAATGGTGGTAATGTGTTTGCGCCTTTGAGAGCCTTTTGATCTCGCAGCCGTGAAATTTCGGGAGACACCTCTTAACTCGGTTTATTTTTGAATTCTCTCATCACGTGTGAGTGTGTGCAGACGCCTTTTACTTAAAAAAAGTGGAGCAGCCAAAAAGCTGCTGGACCATCAAAGGCTTGTTTAGGGACAAAAAAATTTAATGAATTGAAAATTTAATTGACAAAGAAACGTGGAAGAATAAGCATTAAATTTATAGAAATTTCTAGCTGCTTTCATAATTTTTTAAAACTTAAAAAGTATTATTTATTGTTTAATAAAATAATAATATTTGCTAAAAAAATTTGCTTTGCTTATTTAGAGGGAAAAAATAGCTGTCATTTCATGCTTAGGTTGTCATGTTTTTTAATATTTTAATTTATAAAAAGAATAATTTTAGAAAAAATAAATAATTTAAATTAATATTTATTCATTTTTGCGTCATGTATTGAGATTTCTAATTAAAAGGCTGAATTTTTTGCATTTCAGCATTTAAACATTTGGTCTTCTCACAATCAGTTCCAGAATTCAACGTATATTTCTATTAAAATTGTAAGAATGAATAATGCTAATAATTATAATTCAAGATTTTTTTAATTAAAATACTAAAATTAGCAAGTCTGGCAAATTCATTTGATTTCATAAAATTGAATGGAGTGAAATAAGTAATCAGAAGCAAATGAATTTGTATTAAAGAGATTTGTTATTAATTCTCATTCATGCAGAAAAAACCGGAAAAAACCATAACAAGATTCTTAAGAAAAAAAAATGTTTGGTAAAAACAAAATCCACGTTTTGTTTTCATTATTCTGAATATGTGAAGTCTGGTCGGGTGGCGAGTTTTATTTTTGGATATTGTATCTTTGTCGGCGTTACTGCATCGGAATGGGCGTTCAAGCCGCGAAGGGAGGCGCCGCGGCAGCAATTTACAAGGCAATTACCGCGACTTTCGTCTCAATTGTCGGCCGCCGCGAAAACAAAATTTGCATAAAGACGGACGGGCCAAATCGGCGGCTGATTGATTGGGTTGGAATCGTGGTTTACTCGTCGCTCCCATGCTAATCTCGGTCGGCCGGCCGGACGGACCCGCGACGGTCAATCCGAAGGCAGCGCAGCTTTGAGGCGGAGAACCGGTTTGGCTGCGTAGGCTTGGTGTAAGCAGGCGGCAGACGCCTGGGAAAAGCGGCAACGGTGCTCGCGATGATGATGGTCGTCTACCTGCTGAATTCCATCGGCATCAATGGCCATCCCGACACACACCGCGCGGCCACTCTAATTTCCTCTCTATGTTTTGACGCCGATTGCGAGCTCAATAATTCTCACCGAATGGAAATTTCGCGATTCGAAAATTGGAATAAATCAAATTTCTAAATTAAAAAATATTATTTTGGTTGAAATTCCTTTTCCTCGCTCAGTTCAGAAATAAAAGGTAAATTTTAGTTTAAAAGATCAGTAATTTATATGAAATTTTTGGAATATAATTCCACAGGTTGAAGATTTCTTATTTTGATCTAAAAACTTCAGCTCTCACAATCAGCTTCAGAATAGAATTTGTTCTTATTTAATTTAAAATTGAAAAAGGAGTGGATCTGATCAATAATCTTACAAGCCTTTTGTTTGAGGTGAGAAATTTTTATGAAAGTTGGTGTTCTATATCTTATACCCTGGGCTTCTTCAGAAAGGCAAATAATTTTTTCCCAGTTATTTTTCAATGGTACGTGTAAATTAGGCAAATTATTTACACGGAGGACGCTATTGCTGCCTACAATTTAACAGAGTTTTTATAAATTAGCATTCCAGGGTAAATTTAAATTGGGGAAAAATTTAAAGTCGTTCCCGAGTGCCTGGGGCTGTGCATGTTGCCTACCATCTCAAAAACATAGCGTATTATAGTTAATTAAAACTTTATATTTAATTAATCGTTATTATACCTTGAATTTTAATTTTATGTATCAAGTTTTGGATAGAATAATTCTGTCAATTACTATAAAATCAAGGACAATTCCTGATTCTGGTAAAATGATTAACCATGGCTTAATTTTTTCAGTTTTTAAATATTTTGTTCAAATAATGCCTTTAATTCTTTTGTAAAATTTCCACTGAACCGTTTGACTTGTCCCGGTGCTTTCATGAATGAAACAACTTTACAATCTCTCAGCAGAATGCCCAACAATGAATAATTCCTTCTTCTCTCACTGTTCACATGAAAATTATGAATCGTTTTGCTTCTTGGCACAAACTCCAAACTCCCGCAAGAACCACATTCCACGGTGTACTGAATCAATTGGAAATTGTTCACAAACTAGCTGCAGTTAATCTTGTGAAAATCAAATTTAAATGCTCAATCTTATAATTTTATGAAAGTTCAAAAATATCGTTGTAAATTCATTCCTTTAAAATATTAATGCAGAAACTGTTTCAAGTATTTCATTTATTTATTTATTTTTGAAGATTCAAGCAAATTGAGTTATTTATTTTTTAGGCTGTCGAAGCAAAAACTCACAAAAGTCCCCTTCTTTTCGCGCAGTTGGTCTTTCTTTCGTCTCTCTGCTGTAATTCAAAACCGTTTTCGTGTTTTCAGAGGCATGAGCGTTCGTTCCTCCTTATTTTTCTCTCATTCTCTTCACAGCCGCCGCCGCTCTTTTGCTCTGATAATAATAATCCGAACGAACGGCGTTTTCTTTGCAAACGTCCTGTCTTTTTCTCACTCGGAATAATTCGCGTCCGACTCGATTAAAATTTCCGTCGCCGCACCTGACGCGCAAACACACACCTCAAGCGCGAGACGCACAAACACACACTGAAAGCAAACAAAGGAGGGAAATAAAAATGAAAAGACTAGAATGAAAGAAGAATGAACAAAAACCGTGTGTGAATGAAGATCGCACTCCTTTTGGTTATTATTTTATTTGTAAAAAAATGTCTGGAGATTTATTAAAAAAAAAAGTATTAAATTGCTTAAAATTAAAGTTTTTAAATATTTCAATGTCTTATTTGAAAAAATTGAAGTGGAATTTCCCTTTCAAAATGTCATTGATTTTTACACTAATTTCTAGAATTCCAGGTGAAATGTTAAATGAAATTATAAAATTTAGCTTCTTTCTAATCGCAAAATTTAAATTACAATTATTTTTTTCTCTCCTTATACTTTTTTATCTCTGAGGTGCCAGGCGTGATTACAATAAATACGCGTCAGGCTCGCACGTCTGCTTCCTCCTCCACCTCCCACTCTTCTGCGAAGATTCATCCTGAGCTGAAAACGGTACTTGCCCGTGACCCGAAGCGGCGGCCGACGAAAATATAATAGCGCGCACACATTCTCATCCTTTTGTACTTTAACTTGGCTTATCGCGCCGAAAGTTCGTTTTGCGCCGAGAGGGGACCGAAAAATTGGTGAATGGAAATCAGAAGAAGTTTTCCGGCTAATTGAGCTCCTCACTCATGAGAGCGAAAGAAAATTTGCCGAATGAGATAAGGAGCAATAAATCATGGGCGGAACTGAATTTTATTGAGAAAATCGCACGAAGAGCTCTGGGGCTGAATTTGGTCGGATATATGTTTACTCTGATTATCAGAGGATTTATAAAAATGATAAAAAATATATTAAAAAGGTGAAGAAATTTTTTTAATTTCTTATTCTTTCTCTTAAAATATAGGGTCGCCAACAGGTCGCCCATTGACTAAAAATGCTTGTTATTAAAATTTTAAGTTAAAAATTGCCAACTTATGCAACAATTGAATCGAAATTAAAAATTATAACTTTCGTCAATTTTGTGAACAAATTTTAAAACTTATTTTTCTTTGATTGCAGATTTAGAATAGACAACACAGACCACATATTCGACGTCAACAAGGACAATAGCCCATTCGAGTATGATCAGGTCAACATCATCTGTCCGGTGTACCCGGCAGACACTCCGGACGAGGAAACCGAGAAGTACATGATATACAATGTAAGTTTTAATTATTACCTTTATCTACTTATTATAATTATTTATTCGGAGACCTGTAAAGTTAAAAAAAAAAAAAATTAATTTGAGAATAATGAAGGAACAAATGTTTAGAAATATATCTTTGAAAATTGATTTAAATCTCTCAAATATTTACCAAAATTTTGAAGTAATTTTGTAAAATTACTTCTTTTGTCACTTGAACTGATTGAATAATTTTGAATCGAATTTTGGCAGGTGTCGAAAGAGGAGTACGACACGTGTAGAATCATGGACCCGAATCCTCGCACCGTTGCAATCTGTAATAAGCCGAAAAAGCTCATGTATTTCACAATCACCTTCCGCCCGTTCACGCCACAACCGGGAGGCATGGAGTTCCATCCAGGGCAAGACTACTACTTTATCTGTAAGTGCAAAATAAATTAAAAATGAGGCAAATTCCTAAATTCTTATTCAATTTCAGCTACTTCATCGAAAGATGACATTTACCGCCGCATCGGTGGTCGCTGCTCCAGTGACAATATGAAGACAGTCTTCAAGGTGTGCTGCCGCGCCAAGGAGACCAACAACCAAAGTAATTTTCATTAAAATTTACATTTTTATCAAAAATTAATTTTACCAAATAATGGAAAACTTGATGCATTTTTCTTTTAATTTTTGAAACTTACTAAAATGAAATTCCTTTTTAGCCACTGCAGCCACGGGCATCAACCTGGGCCCTGTGCACCACTTCCCGGTCACCACAAGCGGCACGTACAGCTCGACGCAGGCCTACATGCCGCCCCAGCTGCCCACTCGGCCAACCAGGCCGCCCTCATCGAAGGACTATCCTCCGATGCAGCCGCCCAAAAAGAGCAGTAAGTTCAAATTATTAATTTTAAATAGGTTTTTATTTAATTTGCTAACAATGCAATCTCCACAATGGATCAAAATTTAGGAGATGATTTATAAAAAATAAATTTGATTTTTACTTTGAAATTGAAGATACATTCAAAGAATGAAACGAAAACAAATTGGAACTTTGGTTATTTGCTTACTTTGCATAAATCTTACTTGGTTTTTAAATTATCAAAAAAAAACCCCAAAATACTCTTCGTAGCATGTAATATGGAAATTGGTGGTTTTTTTATATAAAAAATTTTTTAATAAATTTTATTAGGTTAAGAAGTATAAAAGTAAAAAAGAGAAACATTAAGAACTTTTTTTAATTATATTTATATAATCATTTATTAAATAAAATCAAAATGAATACCTTAAAGGAAATTGAAAAACAGTTTGATGATTTATTTTTGAATTCTTTTATTTGAATTTAATCAAATATTTTTAAATTACCTATTTTTTTCTCCCATAAATCTTCTTAACATAACATTTGCTACTTTACATTATTGATATTGAACACAGCATTGAGTTAATTAAAATTTAATTTCCAGGCGAGTACGACAAGCATCCAAACGAGGTGCTGAAGAACGAAGAGCTGACCTACAGCGGCGCCTCGGCCTGCTCGTGGTCCTCGTCAATATTGCTGTGGTCGCTCCTGGCGGCGTCGCAGGCGCTGCTGACCTACTCGAGACGGTGAGCGCCGTCCTCTTCGTTCGACCAGTGTTGAGAATCATCGGAGGCGCAAGAAGAGAGAGTAAATGTTTTTCGTGTGCGGAGCAAAAATTCGGCCGCACCCCGTCACCCCCGGACGGGCGTCGGGGGCGGCCGGAGAAAAAAGACTGCAGGCAATCTAGTTCATCCTTCTAAAATTAAGGCGTTCGGAGAGAATCGCAGACAGTTTGGCCTATTTTTCTCGAGAACGAGGATCGACCGACAGTTTATTATTTAATTACGGACAGTTTCAAAGAAGGACCACGGACATTTTCCACAATGCGTGAAGAGAGAGTATTTAAATATAGCGAGTGAATGTAGATAAAAAAGAAAAAGGAAAAGAAATCGGACAACCCTGCGTTGAGACGACCTTTTGTGATCGGTGCAGCTGAGCGAAATTCCTCCTAGCGAATGGGGTTCAAACAAGGTGAAATATCAGTTTGATCTCAGTGCAGGCGAAAGGAAAAGATAAATTTGAAAGCAGTTTCCTCGGACGGCCCCAGCTCGCAGGAGGAAACAGACCACACAATAATTATTATCATCGATTATTACCTGTTTTACAACTACTATTTATTATTTGAGCGCCATGTACAGTCTGATTACTTAAGTGTATTCATGGGATGTCTCGAGAGTTCAGTTCGGTGATTCAGTGTCTGGTTGTATATTCGAAAGAACGTCCGGAGCCAATATGGAAAAATCTGAATCTGATCTTTTCACTTTGGTTCAAGTCGGGCTTTAAATATCGCTGTCCACACATAGGACGCCCGTCCGAGGGCGTCCGATATAGTCGTCCGGTTTGAAAAACGAGGAGCAGCAGAAAGTCTTTCTTCTCATTCGAGTGCATTTATAATTTCGAGTTACTCACTTAATCGTTTGCCGGCATTCCTGCCAATTTTTAAATATATATCATTCGGGAGACTTGACGACAATTTGCCTTCTTTCCACACTGTAAGTAGATAATTAATTTATGACTCTTGCAGCTGAAATTTAGGCTGCACTGTGTGAATTATGTCGCCGTACATGTATTTTATATATATCATTCCCTCGACTCTGCTGACAACCTCGTTCGTGTGGTTTTTTTTTTAACTAAAACATTCCATCATTACTTTTGAATCGATTGATTTTCCGCCTCTCCGTTATTGTACAGACGAATTGATTAATTTTACTCGAATCAGAAAAACCAACAATGATTAATTTCTTGTGAAAAGAGCGTCTCTTTCTCTCTATAATATAATTATATCTTTGATCACCGATTAAATTATTATATATAAAATATTGTCGCTCCCGTCAGAACTGAATAAAGGCGAAAAAGTTGCATCGTTTCGATATTTAAATGTAAAATGTATATTGATGAGCGTAGTAGAGAGAGCGAAAAAGAAGGGAAAATTTTCTCATATGTGATATTTGTATAAATGACATCAACAATAATGACGGATTCTCATCACAAACACACTCACTCACACTGATCACGTATAACAATGAAAATGAAAAAAAAAAATCTGAGCAAAATGATTAACATTTCTCTCAAATCCGAATTATTATTTGTACAGTTCCGCGTGTAAAGAGCCCCTGACGAGCAATTTGAGAAAAAAAAACATAGCAAACGTAATAAGATTAATTATTAATTAAAAATAGTTAAATGATATTGTCACACACGATACACACACACACACATACACTTACATTAAGTAAAGAGTAAACACACACACACTACACACATGCATTACAAGTAGCCAGACAGATGATCAAGTAGGAAGAAAACTGAAAATGTTTTATTGCTGTATAAATGACGAGATGTGTATGTAAATAATTATACGAAGATGAAGAAAAATAATTAAAAAAAAAGAAAAAGAATCGAATATCATTGCAGAAGAAGAAAATTCGTTTTTAAGTAAGTGCCATATTGAAATGGAAATTTTGTTCAACACACCTGCCACTACTGAACAAACTCTAGCTACTTTCCCCACACCGTATATAAATAAACAGTTTTTTTGAAAGGCCGAGTGTTGTTTTGGCACAATTATAGAAACCAATGGAAAAAGGAGTGCTCTGTGTATATTTTGATTAGAGCGGCGTGGTCTCTGCTCTGCTCAAAGTCTCTCGAAAAATTGTTAAACTCTCTGATGGTGCTGATTTTATCCAACCCGAGGCCCGAGTGAGAGACCCGCGGCCGCAGCAAAATTGCATTTTTATTTAGAACGGGTATCTAAAATTTTTGTCCATCCAAGATGTTGGGCTCGGCGGCGGATTTTAAACTTGGAATTACACTCGTTTTTAGGGACTTCCGTCGCCGGCTTGCATCTGTGCTTTTAAATGCGGGGTCTTCGGATCTAAAAATTTCACTCTTTGGTGCTACGAAATGAGATTCCCCGCGATTTTTGAGATTGAAAAATTTGAATAAATAAACAACCAACGCGAGCACTTATCTTGCTTTTCTCGACTGTTGATTTTTGTATGAAATTGACATATAATATGTATGCAAAAAAGGCCCCCTGCGTAGACACTGTGTAAATACGTGGACACAAAAGTAGTGGAAATTACGATTATTTTCAGCCAGAAGAGTCGCAAATTTCATTCTTTATCTTCTCAAATGAGACGAAATTTAAATTATTTATGAATCAATTTGTTTTCATCGGCAAAAATTTATTGTAAACGAAATTCCATCAATTAGGCAGAGATTTATATTTGTAAAGAGGAAAAACATTCTCTTGTACATGTTTGAATTAGCAGCACTTCTGTCGAACCCCTGCATTCTTCTGATGGGAAAATATTTTATAACTGACTTTTGTACAGCGAAATAAACAATTGTAAAATGTGAATTAAACCACTTGATTTTTATTTTAACAGACATTTTCCTTCCAAGGTTTTGAATATCAAAAAATACTTTTTATTTTTTAGTAGAAATAAAATTTTATTCATATGGCAAAAAAAATCTTTGATTTACAAGACTTCTTTTTTTACAAGCTTATATAATTTGACTTCCGTTCAGAGCTTCATCTCTTAAATTTATATACTAAAAGCACACTTAGTAATCATTTAATCAAACATTGCATAATATTATAGTTGAGTCTCTTTGATTCAATTTTTGAGTTTGTTATAATATAATATTTTTATCTCTGTCTTTTTCCCAATATTCTAATCCTAAAGAAGTTTACAACGATGGAAGGCACACTTACTTCAACAAGTTTTACACAGAACTTGCGTAATGTTTCTTTTAAACACAAAAAAGGTATAGAAGAAAACGAAGAGTGTAAAATCAAAAAGTTATTGCAAAAAATAACACAGTTTGTTTTTGTGAAAAACGAAAAAAATGCATAAAAATCATTTCCTATTCATTAGCCGGCTTCCTCTTTCTAACACCAGGCAACTTGCTACTCTGGGCAGGTGGCCTGGTGTTGACATAGTTGTTAATGTTGGTGACCTTCCGAGGGTCAGCCACCAGTCTGGGCAGGCGCGTGGGCGGCCTGTTTTGGGGGCTGCTCGACGGACGACACATTGTCTTCGAGTTTTGATTCTCCCTGCTGGCGCTGAGGCAGCGTTTGTTGGTCACGGCCAGCCGGGAGTTGGTCGCCTCTTTGGCCTCCTTGGTGACGACTGGAGGCGGCGGAGGCGGCGCCGCAATCACCGGTAGACGTTGACTCGGTCATCTCGCCACGGTTGTTTGACGAACCGTCGTCCGAACCGTCGGCCTTTCACTGAAAATTTCATTTTTTTTTCTTTAGAAAATGATGATTTGGGAGACAAAAATCCTAAGGATTCAATTTTTTAATAGTTAATTAGAAGTATTATTTAAATTGCATGCAATTAGAGTTTTTTTTAGTTGAGGAGTGTTAAAGAAAACCATGCAATGTATAAGTGCAAATATAAATAATAATGATAAATAAATAAATAAAATAAAACAACTTTTTCAATATTTTTATACATCTGTTTATCATTCTTATGTTAAATGAAAATTTCTATTTAAAATAAACAAATAATTTTCCCTTGCTATTAGTATATATTTTTACAATTAAATTAAATAAATACTTTCAATGGAATTATTTTCTATATTTCAACAAATTAGCTTGTCAAATTATGAAATTAACTGAAAAAGTAACAAATGTTGTCAACTTAGATTCTAATATTATGTTAAATAAAGATTTTTACATAGTTTTTAAATTTAATTAATTTGATTTTCAAATTTATGAACTATTTTGTCTATAAGACGATAATCAATAGATGTCTATTATTTATTATCTCTTGGCTTAATTATTTGCGTTTTCCAATCTACTTTCTACACCTCTCATCCGCAATGAGAAGCCTGGACTTACAGGGGGCCATTGTTGTTGCACGACTTGTTCAACCCTGACAGGGTGGAGGAGCACGACGGGGTCGTGGTGGCAGGTCTACTCCTGAGTCGAGTCATTGGCCTGCTATGATTCCCGAAGAGAAGAAGAAAAAGAGAGAAAGATAGAAAAATTGAGTAAATCACACCAAGCCGCAAACGCAAGACCTCAAACTGGAATAACCAAATTAAATAAAAATAAGCTCACTTCTTGGTTGCGGTGGTGGCTGTGCGCGCCAGTCGCTCGGAAACCTTTCTGGCCGCCAGCGAGGGCTTCAGAGGGGACGCAACCATCGGCTGCTGCACCAACCCTGGCCTCAGTGGCTGTTGAGATCGGGCGCGAGTGTTTGGTTTCCTCTCCGCATCCACACTAGAATATTTGAGTAATTTAATGAACGTTGTTAAATTAAAGGCTCATTTAATTATATATTAAAGAACCAAACCAAAAAGTTGCTTAAGTAGAGAGTTCGACTCGATTTAAAAAAATCAAAGACTTGAGAAAGTTTATACTTTGTAAATTTATCTATGTAATTTTTTTATTATTTAATTACACCAAATTTTTTAACTAACTTTAAAATAATAATTATAAATATTAAAAAATATTAAATAATACCAAAATTGAATCTAGCATTTTATTAATTGGATTCAGGATCATTTTATTCCAGTTCTTTTCATTAAAATTGTAGTTAATAATTAATTATTTTAATCCGTTTTAATTTGCTAAATTTGCAGCCATAATGTAAATTTTTATAATTATTAATTTGTTTTAATGATTTATTTTTATAAATTTTAATTTTTACTTACTCTGCAAGGGGGTGAACAGTGACAGACCGCACAGGTCTTGGCTGCCTCCGAAGCGCCTTGATCTGATTCAGTTTGTCGCCCTGGGTCATTCTCTCCTGCCTCAGGTCCGAGGCCTTTAGCTGGATGAGATCGTCGTCAATTATGTTTTGATTCGCCTCATCCTGAAAATGAATAAAATTTCTCATTTTCTTTTTCTAAAATTGATCTGCAAACCTCGTCATTGAGATCATCCTTGATTCCGTTCTTGTTCTCGTCCTCCTCCCTGCTGTCGTCCAGCTTCATCGAGTCCACCTTTTGCAGAATCTTCGACACGTTGTCCGGAGACAGGACGTCAGACTCGAAAGCAACGCTGCGGTTGAGCTGAAGTTTATTCTTGAGAAATTTCAGCACCTTCTCCTGACGCATGCTGTAGATTGGGTAGACGACGGTCGGGATTGCGTTTCTTCTCGAGTACCACATCTCTGTCTGCTTTCTGTTAAATGTAATAAAAAAATTATTAATTAAGAAAAAATTTATGATATTTTTAAGTTTACTTGAAAAAATTATTTTTTAATAATAAAGTTGTGATGCGCTAGATTTTCCTGAATTCAATTTACTTATTTTTATGTTACAGGAATTATAAATAATTCTTTTCTAAAACTTTACTTAATTATCTTATCCTTTTTAATTATTCTTTCAATAAGTTGATACTTTTTAACAAATAAAATAAATAATAAGGTAACAAAAATTACTGTTGGAGCCACAGCTGCTGATGACCAATAATGGAACCAGGCCTGCAAATTCGGATCCAGGCGATGGCCTCAAGAGCAGTGAACTCGTAGTGTTTCATCAGATAGCAACCAATCAATGAACCTGTTCTTCCTAAGCCAGCTGGAAATTGAAAATAAAATTATATGAAATTTCAAATTCAACAAGGAAGAAGATTTTAAATTGATATCAAATTGAATTAAAAATGGTTTATTTTTAGAGTGCATTTCTTATTTTAATTTCCATTTAAAAAAATGTGTATGATTTGTTGAACAAATTCATAAAAATTAACTAGCTTTTTGGTAGCCAAATTTAGCACAATATTTTTTTTATTAAATTCAAATAATGTAGCTGAAAGAAACTGATGAATTCATTGCAAATTGTTTATTTTTTAATTTTTTTTTTATTTATAATGAATAAATTTTTAAGTAGAGCCTCTGCAGATTAAGGAGTTATTCTTGTCGGACAATGCGAAATTATTGTGAAAGTGGTTATGAGCAAAACAAGATTGCGTCAGCGAGGCCGGAAAAGTGCAGGTGTACAACATAAAAGTGCATCTTTCTGGTGTCAATATGAGACGACGGAGGAGATACCTTTGCAGTGCACGGCGACGGCGCCAGGAGCCGACTCGCAGACGCTGAGGAAGTGCTCCATGATGATGTCGCTTGGCGTGCTTCCGTCCACGAAAAAGAGGTCCACGTGCTGGAAGCCGCCGGCCACAAAACGCGCCTTGTCGTACAGCTTCTTGTTCAGCCGAATCACGGTCGAAACGTTCCGCGCCTTGAAATACTCAAAGTACGACTCTGGCGAGTGGAGGGGGTACCCTAAAATAAATATTAATTTAATTTTGTACTCAAAAAAGTTTTAAATTTGTAGAAAAATACAAAATCATATTTTTAATATTATGTAAATTTAAACAAAGGAAAAAGTTTGTAATTTGAGTAATGATTTAGTATATATTTTTCTTAATAATTTCTGTGGAAGTTTAAATAGTTATTTGGGAATTATAATTTAATTTAATGAAATTCATTAAAAATATAATCTACCATTGTCAATTTCACTTCTAGGATGAGGTCCGCAAAAAGCAAGGAACTTTTCAGGCACAATCCAGTTCAAATCGCCGCTCTCCACTCTCTGAAACATCCCCCTCGTCAGCTCTCAAATCAAATCCCGAGAGTTTTTATTTACCTCGAAATGCTCGTACTCCTCGACATTGAAGTCTTCAAAGTCGAACAATTTTCTGCGCACGTACGCCTTGTGGATTGCGTGCAGACAGTCGTCTAGCGAGATGTGGTAATTTGACGTGCCGTATGATGCATCTCTGTCAATGCGAAAAATGAAAAATCAAGTGAAGATTCTCACACATTTCAAACTGGCAAAAATGAAATTCTCGTACCTGAAATTTGCAAAGGCGTGCGTGTTCGGACCTGACAGCAGCTTTGCAGCCTGCGCCGGCGTGAAGTGCAGATACATCACCTGGAAAAATTAAAGTTAAATTTAAATACATGTCAGAATAATTAATATTCGTATCGTTTATGTCAGACTGAAACAGCACTTCGGTGAAAAAAGGTTGATTTTGATTTTCAATCCATAGTCTCATGATAAATTATCGCAAATTAATTCAATCAAAGTCAGATTCTGTGCAAAATTCTACTTCATTGGATTTGATTTTCATTAATTTTCATTTTCAATCGATAGTCTGATGGAGAAGGCAATTTAAAATTTAATGTACAACGGTCAAATTAAAACCCTGAAAATGAAACAACTCTAGAAAGAATAATATGGCATTTTTTAATGTTGTGTACATTTTTTTCAAGTTATTCTTACTTTCCACAAAATAAGCTGTAAAAATGGAGTTAATGGTCCACTTCAATCACCTGCATACTTTTAACGAATTATTCAAATATCTGCACAAAATTAAGGTATATTGGGCAATTTTTTCAAGATATTTCCATCACTAATGGTCAGAAAAATAATTTAAAAATTCCTCGTTTCCTTTTTGGTACCGCAGCTAAAATAGGCAACCGGTGGCTTTTGACAAAAAGTGCTGAATACGGTAGCCAGCATGTTTTGGCTTACATCAGGCAGAATAGACGCAAACCGCAGCCACGTCTGGGAGGCCCAGGATTATGGGAAATTCAGGGCGGCTCTATGTACTGTACGCAGGGTATAAACAAGTAACCGAAAACCGGCGGCGAAAGGCGACCTGGCTGAGAGCGGGCTGTAACGAGAGGAGCGATCGAATTAAATCTGCATCACTGGGTTAACGACCGAGCTGGAAGGGCGACAAAACAACGCCGCGTACGGTACAGTCTCAGTCGGCCAGGTCGTGCAGCCGCGGCTGCAAAAGGTGAAAGCAACCCGGATTACCTCATCGGACGAGTTGTTGTCTGATCAACTCTTCCGCGGATGCTGCGCGGGTTGCGCAACCCGCAAAGTGATTGTACGCTCCAACGGGGAATTGATCGACTTTTGAGAACCGCATTCATTATTTTTTTATGCAACCTTCTAGTCACGATTTTGTAATTTTTCCAATTTACAAATTGTGCAGTTGCTATCAAATTGATAAAATAAAAATGCGAAAATAATGAGAAAATAATACAAATATTGTAAATTTCTCATTCAAGTTATTACAGTATTTTTCATTTAACTTATTTGGCTCCCTAAAAGTATATTTTCAAATCATTTTAATTTTTAAAAAACCTGGGAATTACAAAACAAAAAATTTAGGCCCATAACGTCTCTTTTAGGTCTCGTGTTATCTGTAATCAATTCAGTTTAAAATTAAAAAAAAAATTATCTTCCTCAATTTGAAGAGTGAATTTTAGCACAATTTTCGGCTGCTTTTTCTCTGATTTAATTGAATCCCATTAGTTTTCTTGTTAATTTTAATAACTTTTCCAAAGCAATAAGAGTTAATGAAGTTTATTTGATTTGACGCTTCCAGAGAAAGTGAATTTAATTTTCCTTTCGATTTGAGCGAAACCTCGATTAATTGAAAATTACCACCGCCTTGGGCACCCACTCATTAAGCAATCCATCGTATTTCCATCACAAGTTAATTATCTGCCCGACCGACTCACCACGGAGCAAAAAAGCCACGGCGTCGAGCTCGACTGCAGTTACGAGAGTATAACAATTTATATCAATTTCATACTCGGTTGGCTCAATAATAAAAAAGACCAGGCGAGCATATACAGACCGCAAACAACTTTTTGTTGTTTGCCTCTGCGTGATGTGTGCGCTGCTTATGAGTGTAAACCCCAGAACACATCACTCGCCAGTCAATAAATTATAATCGTGTATATTTGTTATTGTGGCTTTTATCACTTTTTAATCGGGTTTGTTTGCGCCGAGTTCCGCTTGATTGGCCGCAATTAATTTGGAACTTTTCTTGACTTGGTTAAGGCAATAAAAAGCATCTCAGTCACGGAAGATTAATTTTTATACTGCTCTTGTTAATTATAGAGTTCGGAAGCTGCTGCTGATGCGGTCCATTTTTTCTAATCTTTTGTTGTACAGAAATGTCGATCAGACAACAAAATGTAAATTGTGTATGTTATTGTGTTGCAAAACAGGCTGCAAAGATCACAGGCGCGGGATGTTGATACGCGGTTTATTTCTTCCTGTGTGTCACGCGCGAATTGAGTCGCCCATTGTTCAAAATTCGTACAAAGCAGGTCATTCGGCGTAGAAAACCACCAGCATAAATTTAAATTCGATTGTTTAATAATGTTTGAAAAAGTGTAATGTAAAAAAAGAGGTGGAGAAAAATGAAAGAAAACGCCTGAGTTTTAAAATGATAGGTAGACTGGTAAAAAAATAATTGGTTTTTAATGTGTTTTCTCAATAATATTCATGAATAAACAAAATAGAATTTTTTTTCAATTAATAGCTATTTATCATTAATAGACAAAAATGTTAGCTTCCTTGAGAAGTTGAACGTAAAAAGTATTCATAAAACTAATAAAATTCATCTCAAGTACAGGCATTTTTAGAAAAAGATCTACAATCTCAAAACGCTTGTAAAGCTATAAAAAGTATTTTTACGATCTATCATTATTTCAAACAAGGCTAAGGTTAAAATCTTTATCATATTTCAATTACCAGGAATAGAGGCTGTATAATAGCGGGTGGTGCTCGTTTCAATATTCATTGGAAATGAGATAGGTTATTATTGGAAATGGAGTTGGAGCCTCTTTTCCTTTTTCAAAAAAGCTGCAGCACGCACTCAATCGGCTCTCCTTCATTATTCACGCACGTGATGCTATTATAAAAAAAAATGATTCACTGCAGCACACAGACAGCAGCAATAGTAAAAAGTCTGGCTGTAAATATTGCTTTATTGACATATACTCGCGCCCCGGTCGGCGTTCATCGATCCGGACGCGGCCGTGTTCTTGAATGCAAAAGATAAGCAAATTTACGACCATCGCCCACTCCGAGTTCAAATTCGAGAAAGAGCTAAAAGTGCGATCGGATCCCTCTGAAAAACTTTCGTCAGCAAAAAACACACACAAACGCTTTATTTTGTCAAGAGATAAGAATAAAGGTTTGGCGCTGTTAGAATTTAGAATCGTTTTCCTTTTGGAAGAGCCAAACAGAGACGCAATTCCTAAGATGACGTAAGAGTAAAAATATAAAAAAGGAATGAAAAAACAGGATGCAATTTATATTACTGGTGTTAAGTATAAAAAGACTATGTATAGAAATTACCTAAAAATTAAATAAAGAATATAAATTTTGCTTCAAAAACATATTTAAAGACTTTGCAATACATAATTATAATTATTTTATGTTCGATTTTTATGTTATTTCACTTTTTTTATTCTATTGATTAAAAGACTGTTCAGAAACGAGAGATCAAAATTAATAAAATTAATATTTTAATCATTTTTCACACTTCGTATCCATAATTCTGCTTCAAATAACAACTTAACATTCAGAGTCAGTTCATTTTATTGTCAGTTTTGTCAAATTTTTAAGTTAAGTTCTTAACAGAATTTAAAGCCAATAGAAAATTAAATATCAATTAACAATAACTATAAATAATTTTTAATGACACACATTAAAAATTTCACCGTAACTTTTCATGTGGAATTAAAAAAAATTGACAGTTAATCGACCCCATGTGAAATTTGAGCGATACAACGAGAATAATAATTTGTAATGAGCCGCCGTAAAGTAATTAACATGTAGGGAACACGGCGAGTGAGAAAAGTGCACGGCCACGTTCCCACACTGTGCCGAATGGTTCACAAAAGCAGCAATAATTATAATATTATCGCTGCGAGCAGGGGCAAAAGTGCGCGTCAATTGCCCCGTTACTCAACCGACTTGATGAGAGGTAGCTTGATAGGATACAAGCGAGAGAAGAGATTTTGCTTCTCTCTCAAGAGAGACCCACACACATGCGAATTTGCCCACGCACGTCTTTGGGCAATTCGCGCGCGACGATGACATCATCGGCATATTAAAGGGCTTACAATGGCTCTATCGATTCGCGTTTCCTCATTCCGAGAGAGAGGCCCATCTGCGACACGCAAAGGCTCCGATTTCCACATTTCGAGACGCAAAAAGCCAGGAATAAATTATTGCAATGTGATAAAAGCGATTTGGTGAAATAATAATATGGTGCTGGAAAAGCGTTGTGTTGCGAGACAATGAGGAAAATTGAGAATGTTTTTGCTCTGCTGATATTTATTCTGGAAAAGCCGTTCAAGTGTTCGGCGTCTATTTCTGCATTTTGTCGAAAGAGAAAGACAAAATCAAAACAATGAAATTAGCGCAGAGCTAAGAAAATAATTTTTCTACTTGTTTTTCTTCTCCGAAATTAAAATTCCAACGACTTAATATAAAAAAGCAATGCAATTAACAGCAAATTTCACCAGGGCAGATGTAAATTAAATGGAAAAATATTTGGTTTCCAAATTTGCTACTTATAATATAAGATTTTTCTAAAATTTATAATACAAATAATTGAATAGTTGCTGCATTTTTTAAAATTAATTTTATGAAAAATAAAGTAGAATTCCATTTCAACGTATGTCTGATAAATAATTGGCCATATTAATTTAATCACTTTTGGAGTTCTCTTTCCATATTATCAAAATTATTTTCAAAACTGAGCAACAATGAGATATCATGCAAAGATACAATAAAAAAATTTAAAATTGACCAGAACCAACATTTTTTTTACACAAAAATTGTTATAAAAAAGCAGGGCTATAAAATTTGACTATTTTGTGTTTTTTAAAAGAGAGTAAATGGAAATTATCATCATCATTGATTTCTTCAGCATCTTTTTCATTTTGACAGGGCAAGTCATCATTCATGATGCAAGTCACTTTTTATGGCTAATCAATGAAAAGTAAGGATTTCTTAAGCAAAATTTAGAAATAATTTACTTAAAAATCAACATAAAAAGAGAGAATCAAACAGTCTCAACTTGTTTGATGTACAAAATATACGAGGTGCGAATCGCAATAAACCAAAAACGCGTGTTGTAAGTCATTTCCACGCACACCACTTCTTTCGTTTTGATTTCGCACCCTTATCGGCTTGAACGTGAGAAGTGCGACACATGCGTCCGAAAATCAAAGCCGCGAATAATAATGAGACTCTGGTCGTGCCATCGCCGCCGAAATAAAGCGCGGTTTTGTTGGTCTTTTCTTTTTCTCTCTCAAGTAAGAGAGGAAACGCCGCTTTTTATAGTGCGTGGAGAGCTTTTTACAAGGAAGGACTAAATAATAAATGACGCGCGGTGAAAAGCATTTTTTTTTTCGTATTCTCGGGGCGGGTGCGTGCATGTGAAACACGCGGGCTGCGCGAACAAAGGTGGCCAGATAAGCCTTTAAGTCTGGCGAATGTGTTGAGAGCTGCGCACGGTTTTCTATATACTTGATTACGTGCCACCGCACGCTGCTCTATTGTTATGCCAACTTACTGCGTAGGATCCAATTAGGTACGCGGCGTTCACCCGCTTCTTGGGGTTGGTGGTCGTGTAGTGCACTATTTTCTTCTTCGCCAAAGAGGGAGCCTGCAAACAATAGCATCAAGTTTGTTAGGCAACACATCAAAAGTTATTACATCCAAACTACAAAAAAAAAATATATATTACATAATTTTACAACGGATTAATTTAATATGCAATAGTTAAATTTGCAGTTAAATACTTTGAAGAAATCTCTCTGATCAGAGAAACATAAAAAACAATTAGCATTACTGAACGTTAAAGTTTAATAGAAAAGCAATAAAATTAAGTAAAACTGCCTATTTGTATTAATTCTTATTTTTCCAAGCTTTATTTTAATTATTTTAAATACAGATAATATTGTCACCTTCCTTAGCCAACTTTTGTCTCAAAACAATTCATTTTGTAATCTTGAAATGAATAAAGCAGATTTTAACAAAAATTATTTTCAACCAATGAAATTTATTACGGAACAACAATGAAGCTTTTCAAAAGATAAAGGGGTGTAATCAAAATTTTTGCTCACTTATATAGGGAAAGGAAAAATTAAATTGATTCTCTCATGGCCAAATAATATGATATCGCCAAAACCGTATATTTTTCGATATCGTCGGCCTCAAGTTTCCAGAAAGCATTAAAAGTCAACTAACCGTTTTGAGAAAAAAAATGTCAGTTATAAAAAAATTACAATATGCTGATTTTTCCACAGTTAAAGCAAAAAAAACGCTGACAACTACAATGGAATAACATAGAAATGATGGAATTCTTGAAAAGTGGCCATCTTTCAAGGAATGCTGTGCTCAGGGCATACACTTTGTTGAGCAATTTGATATTACTGACAATGAGTAAGTAAGAGAAAGTAATATATTTATGCATTAATACTAGTTTTTAGCACTTCATTTCTCCATTTTTTTAATTTTTTTAAAATTAAATATTTATTTCCGAGATATCTCTATTTAATTGTAATTTAATTTAACTAAATAAGCTTCTGATTCTATTTCCAATTTTATATCCTTTTTATAACGCTGCAATTTACCTTGCTCACTTTGATTTGTATCACAAGGTAAGGTTCTAAATTATCTCTGATCTGAATCGACACTGATATGTCTGTATTGATAAGTTTGTGTGATTATCGAGGGCGGCGTGCGTCTGGTTGAACTCTTCAACTTTGGCCGAGGCCACGCCTTTCCACATATCTCATCTCTTCAGCCTCTCAGCCGGTCCAAAACGAGATCAATACCGAAAATAAGTGACACGTCACCATTCGTCCGAAATAAAAAGTAAATAAAAAAAATGTAATATTCAACACAGCAGAAGCAGAGATCTGGAGGGCAGACAACGAAGACAAGCGACTCCGGCATGATGGATAAAGACAAAAAAATCAGCACAATTTCTCTCTCGCAATTTTATACAAAAGTAGAAATGAGATGTTTTCCGAGACTCATGTAAAATAATATTTTACAAAAGTACACGTCGAGAGAGAAAGAGACTAATGGTGCACTCTCTCGAATAGGCCTTGCTATCCCGTTATGCCCTCCTGCGCCTTCCAGCAAAACGTTCAGAGTGAAGAGAAAAGAAGAAGTGGGTCTTTCGTACATTTCTCGCACGACCCTTCAACATCAGCAGCCGGAAAGGCACGCGAATTCCCAACTTTTCCGTCCGAGACCGAGCTCTTTCCGGCAGTTGGCGAAAGGGTAGTGAATTTTTAATTTACGTTCGCCGGCTTTTTTCCTCTCAATATTTTACGAAACTTCTAAATGAAAATGCGGAGAGACGCCAAACTTGGTTAGGAGAGCTAATTTTTTATTAATGCCGAAAATTGCATGGAATATTAAAAACTTTAGCACATTGGAAGGTTCTTTCTATTGCAAAAATTACTAAAGACTGATTAGTTTAAACGTGGTTGAGTGTGAGCGCCGTTTTGTGTATATCAAGTGGGTGATTAGCCATTTTTTTCACCCTAAATTACTAAATTATGCAAATTCTGCTCAGGGAATGTATTAAGAAAAAAAAATTTCGTTTGCTTTGCGGGCTGCACATGACATAATGCAAGTAATTAAAATACGTTTTTGGACAACAATTAAATTTGATAAGGCACAAACTGTAGAAATAATTATGGTAAAGCACGGTAAAGCTTGTATTTTTTTTCTTTCGTTTTCGAGCAAGTCACGTCACAAGTATAATTAGCCACTACGCACTTATAGCAGCAGAACCGTTCGCGCCCATTTAGCGCCAATCTGTTGGATTTTTCTGCGTGCTAATGTGCGTTTGTAGGCGTCCGAGAGGAAAAGCCTCACCCAAACTCATTGTTGTTGATGAAATAATGGACTGGTTGCATCTCCATGGAAACAGTGATTCTCATCTGCCCTCATGTGCAAGGTCAAAATGCGCGTGGGTCGGCCTCTCACGCATCCGGCTAGTTTTTCGTTTTTGCACTTCATCTCGCAGTGTCGAGGCTTCCAAAGTTAATTTTATGTGGTATAGCCAGGTGACAGTGAAGGTTTCAAAAAGGAGCGGAAGATGCGAAAGGTCGACGGAAGCGTTTTTATATATTTTCAAACCTTACAAATTTACAATGGAAGTTTCACGGTTGCTTTACTTTCCGCAGAGCTTCTTGTCTTTTAAAAAGAAAATCTGAGAAAGCGAAAAAATATGAAAATAAATAAAGTATTGTTGATTACTCGTTCAAATTGTTTCACAAAACTTTAAAAATGTAACACAATCAATTGTTTTTCAATATAATTAATTTTTATGGTCAAAAAGACTCTTCCATCTAGAAAAGATTTTGCTAAAATTTCATAGATCAATTGCAAAAATTTATAGAATTTCCGTATATGTGCTTATTTTAGTTACTAAATAATTTATCAGAAAAATTTGCCAAACATAATTTATATTAAAAATGATTTCATCCAGCGCTGTATAATAATAATAATAATGTTAAATTTCATGCTTTTAAATTAAAATCAAATAACGCTTTACAGTTTTCAAAAATTGATTTACTCTAGATTTTTTATCGGCAAAAAGTTTAATATTGAAACCAATCAATGTTGATTCATTCATTTGATAATTTTGTCACCTTGATAAAGCTTAAGTCGCTTCCTATAATTTCAGAGCACTTGATAATCCACGCTCTTTTGTAAACACCAGCGTGTGTATTTCGCGGACGTGTCTTTGGATCACTCTTGCGTCTTTTTACTTGTTTTCACTCGAGTTGCTTTTCGGACGCACCGACGTGTGAACGCGGTGACTCAGTGGTTTCGGATTTAATTAAGAGACGTCCTTGGGAAACAAACCATGCATTGCAGAAAGATACTTTTGGTCTGACATTTGCATTATTCTTAACAGTGTTTAATTGCAAATGTGTAAAAAAACTACTCCATACGAACAAGGTGCAGAATAATATGCATAGCAAAGACACTTTGAGTCTGAAGGAAATTTGATACACTGCAGCCGTGACAAATTTTCACGTCGTGAGTCGACTTGCCTTTGATTTATATACTCGTGCTGCGGTTATTTTTAGATCGATTGTCTGCACGAGTTGTCACGTTGATAAATAATAATTTTCAACTTTTTTATTAATAATCCAAATATATTTAAATGATTTTAGCTTTGTTTTTTTAACATTGATTTGGTTTCATCTTTTAATTGTATTTATTTAATTCACATTTATTTCAAAATCTTAATTAATTATTTATTAATCTAATTAATTAAAAAAAAAATAAAAAAATTATCTATCAATAATTTAAATTTCACCTTTAAATCGCAACCAAATCTAATACTCCTGAAGACAATTATTTAACTTGATTATTGCCATTTTAAAAATTAATTTTACAGGAAATTTAATCTGTCGAATTCCTATTGTTAAATAATCATAGATTTTGTATCAGAATGAGATGAAAATAGAAACCAAATCAATTCGGTCTATTTCTACAGTGTAATGTATTTTTTTTATTCGATGACCACGGCTATGTTCGACGCAAGTTCAAGCGAAAGGCCGTCTGCTATTATTATTTATTGCTTTCAATTCCGATTGAAATCGACCGACTGCGGCAGAGGTCAACGCTCAAGCCGCGACGATAATCGAAAATTCAAACCGTCAGCACGATTTTTGTGATTCATATCAACTCAAGGGCACGCAATTTAATAACGAGAGACACAATAACTAATGGATAACAGGATAAAAATTCACTGCCAGATTTACGAGGCGCTCGTAAAAATTCCTACCGTCGCAATACCTGTCCTGCTGTCTCTTCGAATAAAAGTTAGAAAAATAAACTCGGCGGCAATAAAAGTAAAATCGAAAATAAACACTAGAACTTTAGGGAGGTGAAAAGTCACGACGTGTCAGAATCGCTGTAGGAAATTTTTAGCTCTGGCGTGAGACTCGTGAGAGCCTCCAAAAGTTGCATGATCAGCCGATTTTTGTATATTAGTATCGCTTTTAATGAATAATGCAGCTGATGAAAAAGTGCATGGGCGTGTGTTGCGTGTTGCCTCTCGGACATCCCCTTGGAGGAACTCACGTGACTACAACTCGTCTTTGTTTTAAACGTCGGCGGATCCGAGCAGCACCAAGGACTGACACGCGGGCGCCAACCTTGAGCATCTCGAAGGTGAAAAACACGAAAGCTTTAAATTTTTTCGGTCGGATTTTCATCAAACAACAGGAGAGGGTCGCACCCCCAGCAACGCTTTTACAACTTTGCTTGCGTTTTATTGAAAGGCCGGAAGAGAATTAAAGTGCGAGCCACCCTCGAAAAAGTGGTGCTGTCGAAATTGTTTTCAGGAAATGCGGTGGCTCCTTCTTTTCAACAAGTTGTGAGTTTGATCCGAGCCAAATAATATGCAGTCAAAATTAAATTACATTTTTTTTTAAATTGATAGAAATCTTTTTAAATATTTACTTCTATAAAAAAAAAAAAAAAATGAAGAAAATCTCAATTTCATTGCAGATTTTAGCAATCAAATTATTTATTTCATTCATTTTAAATCTGAAATCATACAACACTAATTTATTTATAATAATAAAATATTTTAATTTTGTATTCAATATTTAATTTTTAAAAAAGATTTACCATGTTTATGTGTTTGAAGTTTTCATTTTGTAATGAATAAAGCCAGAGAGAATAACAGTGAAATATAAATGTATCAAGCTCTGTCTCTGTTTCTAGATTCTACGCACCATTTTATTTCCCATTTTGCACAGCTCTCGGCGCAAACAAAATTTCCGTTGCAAAGCCGCTTTTGTTCCAGGGTGAATATAATATGGAACAAAAACGAGCCTCGTAAATTCTGCACACACCAGGCGCGTTTTGCAAGCTGGTTTTGTCGTGGTAAACTTTGGCCCTCGAGGCAGCTGCCGGGTTGAAATAAAACACACAAAAGTGGTGGAAAGTAAGTTCGGGGCCACGCCGCGATTATAATGTAATGATATATCGTCGGAAAATTATTGATATTATTCAGCGGGATCGCGTGATGCGAGTTGAGGGGTTGCTTTTGGTAGTTTACGTTATCATTGACCTCGGGAATCTGCCTTTTCTTGGCCTACTTTCCAGGGAGCGACCTTGGCGTTTGGGGAATTAATTGAGATGTAAATTGCACGGCGAGGCGAGTCGGAACTCAAGGGAGCGGAGAAATGAGAAATGCCGACAAATGTAAATGCGAGCTCGAAGGATTTTCTTTCTATGCAAATGCACTCCAGAAATAAACGCGTTTTATCCTTTTTCATTCTTTGAAGAGACGAAAAACGTTAAAAACAAATTGCCGGAAAATAGTAAAAAGATTTTTGCGAGCCGTCTTTTTCTTCGTCCGCAGTAGAAAAATACAAACGCAGGAAAATAAAATAAATTTCTCTCGTTTTTAACGAATCCACCGAATTCCAAGAATGAAAATTTGCCTTGTCACGCGGCCATTACCAACCCTAACTCCAAAATTGGCGCAGTTTCAGCACTACCGAGATAGCATCGCCGTTTTAATTCAACCCCAGCGACAATCTGGCGCAAGATCTGTTTTCATGTAGCTCGCACACACCTGTTTCAAAATCAAATACGACCGCACGACATTTTATTAGAAATAGAGTTGGCCACAATTTGCAAAACTAGGATTATTTTGGTGTATAGAGAAGGCTCTTCGATTTGTGTGCAAATATTATTGTTTCAGGGTAGAATCTCGAATTTTATTTTCAAATTCTTTAAAAAAAAGTCTACACAATCATTTAGCACAACTGCAAACGTTGCCGGAAGCCAATTTAGATTTTATTCAAGCTCGAGCCGCTTCAGGGGCTGATTCATTTCGAGTGTCGCATTATGTCGTGGCGCGTTTTGACGTCTGCGGATATGGTTTTGCGCCCAGAAGAGAGAAAGAGAGCCTCGGTCGGTGGCACTGAGTATAAACTCGAGTCTTATCACCACGCCTATTTATGCCTGTGCGAAAACTGCGTTGCAGCAGCACAAAAAAGGCACGATGCTGTCAAAGTGGCGAAGATTAATTGTCGCAGATAATCTGCTTCTGATGCACGCGCGCTCACACAGGAGCCGCTCGGTCCGCGATTCATGTCAAGCTGAATTTTAGGAAATTATCTCAAAAGTCTAAGGAAGAAAACACTCACGAAAACTGATTACATTTGATTGCTGATCTGTTTTATTGCAATTAAAATTAACAGCCCAATGTGGTGTAGTGATTTGTAAATAGATAATTTCGATAATTTTACCAAAACAAACCAATTAATCAATAGTTTTTAAAGTTTTCTTCAGCAACCTTGAAATAAAATTTAAAATATTGTATTTTATATCAAGATTACTTTTCGCACACTAAAAATTTTATCAGCGATTATAGATTTGTGTGCTCATTTGTTGAAAATTTTTAGATCTTTATATTACATCTGAATAGGCTTTTGAATTGCGACTAAAAATTATTCAAACCAATATTGTTTTTATTGTTAAAAATTTTATCAACATATTTATAATTTTTACTGTATTTCTGATCTATTAAATCTATTTTCACTTAGAATTTTTGAAATATAAATAAAGTTTTTCTATAAAACCAAGATGAAAAGAATTGACTGAAAACCCAAGTTAACGCAATATGCGATTGAAAATTATTAAAAACTAAAAATATTAAACATTTATTTAATAATTATGAATTATAATTTTTTTATACATATTTAATAATAATAATAATCTTTCGCTGATTTCTCGTCTTTTTTAACAGAATTTTTCAACTATGAAAGGAGTTATTTTTTAAACCAAAGATGAAAAGAAGGAACTGAACTGCCAATTTAAATATTAATGCTCTCTCTATGAGATGTCGGCTGGGTCGATTATTTGGTCCTGTTTGCACACCCAAAGTCGACCTGACCCAGATTAAATATGGCCCTTTATTGCGCGACGAGAACGTGCAGTCTCGGTGCAGAAAAAGCAATGACTCGGCGGCCTCTTGTGCAGTTTAAAAGAGCCGTCGTGGCGCGAGCGGCCTCGGCTCGCTGCAGCAGGTGAATAAAAAAAAGTCGCGGTCTCGACGAGATCAAACCGCATTTCAGACAGACAGACAGAAGACCACCGTCTCATTATTCGCGGCCAAAGCTAGAAAGAAGAAGAGCCAGTGCAAATATTTGCATTTGATCCACTTAGCCTACGAATAACGAACGGAATGAATAAAATGAATAAAAAAGAGAAAGGCTCATTTCAATACAACCAGCATGACCTGCTACTCGAGTTGAACCAGAAAAAAACTCGTGTTTATCTTCCTGCTCCGACCTACACCGAGAGTTAAAATATAATTTTCCGCTGTAACATTATTTATTCCTGGCTGGAAAGAGAGAGAAAATAATCTTGCAGAGCTAGTTCTCCTATTTTGTTTTTATGTATAAAATAATGTCGTCGTTGGATGTAAATAGTGCGTACATGATATGGTGAAATGACAGAAAGCAGCCAAGCCTGCTGCTCTCAATGATAAAAAGTGATTATTTTTGTACACGCACGGTTCGTTCACCTCCCGACCCTGCCCGAAATTAGCTTAGCATAAACAGCATTATTTCGAGCGTGGTTTTTTTCCAACGCCCCAATTTTTGGCTGCTTCGATGCAGACAATTACTTCCTCGTTTTGGCATTTTTTTTATATATATATATAATTAGGTAAAAAAATGCGCCATCTGCCAGAAATTGAAATGAGTTTGCAAGGTGACAAAATTAAGGAAGTCGAATTAAACAAAGTGACTTGTGCATTTCCTAATACGGCGTCAATCAATCATTTATGTGTTTGCTGCTGTGGTATATTTATGTAATTAGTAATTACGAAGCAAAAGTGCATCGGTTGAGCGAATTTTTTATTTGCATCGCCGCATCTGTATATTTATGATTGATGGCGGCGCGACCATAGCAACCGCCGGCAAAAATTAAAATCCGCAAGAAGTTGGCGTCACGCTCTTTTTAATGTTTGCTTCTCGCAGCCCGGAGACAGACGGCCTTGCCTTTTATCATCACTGAATAAATAATATAAGTAATTACTATTACAAAACACGTATGCATCATCAAATAATATAGTAAGCGGAATCTGCACTTGACGATCGGCTCTTTGCGTTGATAATCAAAGAAGAATGTCATGATGTTTTCTTATATTGTCACATTCTTATATGATTTTATTTTTTTAATTTCTATTTGCTTTAATTATAGAAGTGTATATTTAGCTTGATTTGATTATGCATAAAGAATAAAATAATCCAAATTAAATAATTAAAAACAGAAAAATTTGTAGCAATTTAAAATATTTTCATGCAAAATCTCATTATTTCAAATAATTTTTTAGAGCTTTTATGACAAGTTTATTTACTCGTCCATCTTTGCAACAGAAATCAATGTTATTTTTCATAAATTTTAATATATTTTATTTTGTTGTTTTGGCAGATTTAATCAAGTCCTTGGCTTGTAAATTTGTTTCTTGATCACTTTTCCTCTCACTAATAACAACCTGTAAGCATCCACTTTAACGAGGGAAGCTGTGACGTTTACTGCCCAAGAGGAATAAGGTGACTCATCCCGAGTTGGCCGGCGTGTGGGCAAATTGCTGCGAGGCCCCGCCTGGCCCTCAAGGCCCTGCCACGGCGCCCACCCCTGCCTGCTCGTCTTCCGTCCGAATTCGCGCACCCACGCTCACCTCACAGGTGAATAATTAAAATCCTGTTCTATGTTATTACACGCCACGTATTCAACCGGCCCCCATCACAACCATATAAATGATCCTCGCCAAATTTAAATCCTGAGCGTCAACTTGGCATCGAGCGTTAGCGAAATGCGCGCTGATTTTGACGAGTTGGCACATTTCCTGAGTGCATGCGGCATTACTTGTTTATTTTCACAGATTGTTTGATTGACATTGGATTTATTAATATACCAAAAGCTATCCGATCTGGTTTTAGGTACAATTTTGCAACTTTGTCTCAAACATTATATTTAATAATTTCAAAGCAAAAATTTAAACACGTATTTTATAGTTTTAAATTATATAAATTTTCATAAATTTTTCTTTCCAAAAGTAAGCCTAATAATTAATCAGAATAATTCATTTTATATTATTTCTCTTTAATGAATTTATGTCAAAATTTTATCACAAATACATAGAAAAAATGTTATGTTAAAATTCCTTTTTATATTAGTCATAAAAGCGCTTTGATAATTTCAAACTTTTTATAAATTATGGCAACTATCTTATTTAGTACGTCGATCAGTGATAAATATTTTTAAGTTTCTCTAATGAACAATTTTCATATTTTCGTTCTTTAATTATATAAAATTATTTTATCTCAAATAAATTTAATTAAATTTCTTTTTTAATACAATAATTATTTAAATATCAAGTTTTTAAATTAAATTAAGTGCTATTCTTACCTTGAGTTTCTTTTTCAACTTCATGCAGTAGCGGTAGAGCATGGCCAAGTTGAGCGGACCGAAGTCTTGGTAGAAGTTCTCGTACTCAAACTCATCGTCGATGGAAAAATAGTGCGTTTTCGTCGTTGATCTCGGGTGCACGGTGGTGCCCAAGGTGACAAAATACAGCCGGTCTGCAACACATTAATGGAAAATCAATGAGTCCGACTGTACGTATATGTGGCGGGCATCCCGCCAACAGATGGACAGTTAAGGTTAATTGACCTGAATATGGTCGCACACGTATGCCCGTGACCGCCAGGACAACTTTAGTTAAAAGCTGAGCGCTTTGCTCAGATCTGCGAGAGTGATAAGTGCGAAATTGATTTAATTTGCTCCGACTACGTGCAATACACGTCAGCATTTGGGCGTGCAATTACAGGAACAAAAGTTTGGAAATTAAATTTTGATCTAACCTGTACCTTGTTTTCTTTTTCACATTGTTATTTCTGAGAAAAATGAACTTAAAATTAGCGTCATTTTTTTTTTTAGATAAATGTAATTTTTTTTATCAAAATGGCACCAACAGTATATATAAAGAATATTGCTGCAAAATACTCGTATAAAAAATTATGCTCAAATAATTTTTTTAGTAAAAATGAACTTTTGAATTGTTTTCTCCTAAAATATGATTTCAAAAATGGGAGTTTGTTACTAAAAAATGCGCTTTAAAAAATTGTATTCATTCGAGTTATCAAATTTTTAATTTTATTTAGCTTAGTGAATTTTTACTTAAAAATTAAATATCTCTCCAGTAATTTTTTAAGCAAATAGAATTCTTCATATTGTAAATTTTTTAAATATTTTAATTATCGTCATCTTACACATTCATTTCAAATATCATAATAATTGAGCATTTTGATAATTTAAATCAAGTGATGAATAATTAAATTTCAAATATATATTCCGTTTTAAAATAAAGTCTGGTTCTGCAAGAAAAACTTCATTCTTGAACTTTAATGTGGAGATTGTGGAGCAGTGGTACCAGTTTTGAACAAAGGACGATAAAAGCCTCGACACAACAATAAAAGACCTCCTTTCCTTTGCAAGTTTGAACTTTCAGCATTTGCTCTTTCCGTTATCTCTCTGCTAATTTCCTCGCCTACGTGTGTTTCGAACAAACAAATAATTAGAGTCTGACTCTGTTGGGTGGTGAATGAAAAAAAATTGAATTCAATCAAATTAGGCCTTCCCTGCAATTGATCGGGCGGTGCCGCAAGGTCGAGTTCATCGCGAGTGTCCTACAGACAACAGTGGCCTCGCCATTACCCAAATGGACGTTTACGATTGAGTGGGGTGTGCGTGATTCGGGGGCATATCGACGCAAAGCAAAGCAGGGGTGGGTGGGTGGATTGAATCGCGCTATTCAACACACGAGCCGCCCTTAATGGACGCGCGAACGGCGGCCCCCGAGATAGGCACACACAGGTCTGTAATTTCATCTCACCTTTTATGAACTCGGCCGCACTGATCAGCGCGTCCGAGTAGCGCTGCTGCTTGCCGAGGTCGTCCGACATGTCGACTTACTGAAACAGATATTAAAAAAAAATTAAATCATTGCAAGTAAAATATTTATGATTTTTTCTTCTTATTTTTTGTCAGATATGAAATAAAACAATAATTTTAAATAAAACCAGAAAATCTTGCATGGGTAGTTGGTAAATTTAATACAACATGTTAATGTTTACAATATAAATTAATATGATTTATAAAAAATATATATATTTTTTAAATTTTATATGCTTTTAAATATTAATGACACAATATTATTTTTTCTTAAATACATACACAAGTTTTATTATTTAATAAAATATTAAATTATTCTAAAAATACTAATTTCACATTATGTTGAAAAACTTAAACTAATGGGGGATATTCACATGCTAACTTTCTTATGGGATTTACTGGTGCTAACTTAGCATGTGAATAATCCCCTAATATGTTTCCCATAGAGCACCATAAAATTAGTATTGGATTTTGTAAAAAATGAATATTCTCATGACAAATTATAGGCCTTGTCAACTGTGGCACCGCACAGTGTCACACATAAGCAGACCCATTATAAACTATAACTGTCGGAATCTGCGCCTCCGGAAAAATGCAAATTTTCAACCAACTCGCAGCGTGAAATGAACCTGAGTGCGACACGAGCTTTTGAATAATATTATTGCGCCTCTCGTGCATGCACGTAAATTTGTTTTTGCCTCTGCACGAATTCTTTTGCACTGTCAGATAAACGTATGCAAATTAGAAAGCAGCGCAGTATATTTCGAGCCTGATTATCTGTTTGTTTTTCATTGAATTTAATCCACCAAGCGAGAAGACAAAGGAATCGGCGTTCAAAAATTAATAACAATAAATAAATGGAAAAAATCATAATATAAATGCGCGCCTTCCGGGAATCGCTCTTATCAACTTCACTTCCTTCCCCATCTTAAAATAAAATTTATAATATATTAATAAAGTGAAAAAAATAAGTTTAAAAAACGGGCTTTGGATGCACCAAATTCTTTGTTTTGGAAAGGGTTAGTGGTGCTCAAATAGGTGGTGAGCACTCACTTGTAAAAATACCTCGTCGCCCCTCGGGACTAATTTGGCAGCGACAAATGAAAACAATGAGCGAGAGGCACTGCTCTTTGGTCAAAATAGCTGGAACGTTCTCTGTGATAAAAATGTTGCATATTTAAACAGAGTAAAAAGGCAAAAAAGTTAGACCAAAATTAAAACAGAAACAGTAATAATAAAAAAGTTGGCCAAAAGAAAGATGAAAGTAAATAAAATTGACAACCTCTAGATTAAAAACAGAGACTGAGTTATTCTCAATTTTTCAAGTGGTTGAATGAAAATTATGCTTTCAGGTTTTTAGGAGAAACAAGAGAAAATTAAAAAAATTAATGAATTAAATTTTTAAAATCGAGCCGACAATATAATATTTTAGCAATAAAAGAGCAAAAACGAATGCATTTAAAATTTAATCATTTCAATCAATCTTTATAGTGCAATTGCTTGGAATGCACATTTTTTGTAATATCTGATTAAAAAACATTAATTATTTAATGAAGTGTCAAGTTAAGTTATTTCGACGCGCCAATCGCAACCCTTTTTTCAATATTGCCGATCTGGCGTGAGTGATTCTTTAAAGGTGACAGCATCACGCAAAGTCTCTTAAAGGGTGTGTTCCTCACCTGTGTCCTCGGCGGACTAGAGGGTTGGTGTAGGTTTGCTAAGAGTCGCTTCTGAAGCAAATTCGCCGATTGACACTCAGACTTGGTGCACACGAATGGGTAAGTTCGGCGGAGCTCGAGAGTTCACGTTCGCATTGCGAATAGCGACTGCCAACGAGAACCCAACTGACAATCCCACTGCGAACCAGCGAGCTCTCGGCCTTTGTATTTCCAAAACACAATCGTCGTGATCGCAGGCGTCGTCCAATTAAATGCCAGCCGTACGTGCGGCGTGCGCAGCTCGAGAGACGCAACGGCACCTCTAACGATCAACCCGCGCCTCAATCAATCGATTTCGCGGCCACTCGGCCAATTGACCTACACACCAGGTTCAAAATGCTATGTCTGCAGACCCGAGTTTGCCGGCACCCTTTCGAAGGGTCTTTGACGCGGGTCAAGCCAAAAATTCAGGTTTTTTTACTGCAGGCCGCATCCAGAGATATCTTTCAAATAAAGTGGAAATTTGGCGCCGTAGCGATGGCTGCATTTCGATTGGTTGAAAAGCTTTCTCTGATTGGTCGACCCAATGTGAAAATTGGTTTCTTTGAAAGCCGTGAGGTGGCGCCACAAAATGATAACTCGATATAAAGGCATAAAATACTTGATAAAATATGTGTCATGTGTCATAAAAGCAGGGAGCAAGGCTATTAATGTTATCGTTATCATGGCATTAAAGTTACAAAATTAATCACTTAAAAACGTTAGACAAAAATTAAAAAAAAAAAATTAAAAAGCAATTTTAATTCATGTTATTTTCCTTTTCTATATAATCATTATTATATTTTTTTTTTTTCATATTTTTTGATAATTTTACATAATATTAATTATTTAAATTAAAATAGGGCAATCGGCAATGGCAAATTTCAAATTTAAATAAGCTGTATTTTCTTTGATAAATAATGCATTCGCTTTATTTAAAATACACTCACCCAACAGCTTTAGATGCTGCACTATATTAATCTACTGTGGCAACTCTACCCACATAAATGGTATGGCGTTGTTCGTTAAAATTATTGTATCAAACAATATTCCTCTCTATAGGTAAACTATGGAACTGACTGATTGATGTGGCAATACATTTGAAGCAGCTTTTTTTCTTTGCTTCCAAAAGCAGGGCGTCGACAAGCAAAACACCACGTTTGTAAAACTACAGTCAAAAGTGCTATATTTATGTTTTGTTTCCTTGTTTTTCTTTTTCAGTGATAAAATTATGGATTGAATCTTTTTTTTTATCAATTGAATATTGCTGCTCCAAAAATATCCCACTTTACGCTCAGGCAAAATTACGATAACATGCACCACAAAAATTATTGATATGAGATCACAATTGTCATTGTCTGCTTTGTTCGAAAGTACCTTTCGATATTTTGTGTATAAAAATACTCACGCAAGAGGCAAAATTTCAGCAATCAGGCAGAAGTAAATTTGCTTTGTGAGAACAGATATGCAAAATTCAACAATTCGGCGATTTTCTTTGATTGGATAAATCGCGATAACAACCGTGAAATTGAGTTTTAAAATATCAAAGAGTGGTCAAAGTGAGTCAAAAATTCAAACGTCAACCAGATACCAAGTGTATAATTTTCTGAAAGTTGTTTGTTTGAGTTCATATTTGAGACTGTTGAGCCCGTCAGTCTGAAATCTGTCACTCCCCGAATGAAGTTTCTGGAGCCGAGACTGACTCGGCGCTTCTTTTTTGTGACTAAGCATGAAGTACATAGCCACCGAAGACTCAAATCGGTCTACCTTCAAACCCTGTCGGGTGATACGATTGTAAAAATCGTCGTCCTCACCTCCCCAGCCGTAAAAAACATTGGAAAATCCATTGACCGACTCGAATTGATCTTTGGTTACAGAAATGGCACCGCCAAACAGCGAAACATAAGGCAAATTGTAACGAAAAGTGTTGACACTTGCCGACATGTGTCTCGGGTTTTTGGTACAAGTATAAATGTTGGACAATTTCTGCGGCAAGAGGTCTACATCGTGGAAGACAAAGCAAGTGCTTTGACGGTTTGCCTTTACCGACTCGGCGAATCCAACGTTGAAAAGCTTGGCTCGGTTGAAAGGTGTGTTGGCGACCTGTTCAACCACCACAATGTGGTAGTCGAGCATCTGCCTCTGAAGGAAGGCATGCATAAAATTGAGGAAGGTCTCTAGGTGTTCTTGTCGATTCCTAAAAAAAAATTTAAAAATTAAAAATAAACTGAGAGAAAATACATTTTGATGAGACTGAAACCTGTAAGGTATGATGATTGTTGTTTCGTGACGAGCCTTGCAGTTTTTGGGAGACCACTGACCATTCTCAACAGCCTCCAAGTCTCCTTCCTCGGGCCAACTGGGATAGAGCAAAAAGTCCTCCTCTTTTGATACAGAAAAGTTGCAGAGATTTGGGCCATCTTGATATTGGACTAGATTGCTTTCAATTTGGTTCCTTCTTATGTTGGGGTAGTTTTCGCAGGCAAAACGACCTGGGTGGACCAAATAAACACAGACGCCAACAACCAAAAGCCAGAAGACCGTCTTGATGGCCAGTCTGACCAGTTGGGTGCGACCCACAACAGTCGCAACCATATCAACGCTGCGGAATAATTCTTACAGCCAAATCATTTCTTTCTTCTCGTGATAGCTCTGAAAAAAAACAAGATAAGCGTAGCGTTAAAACATATGAAACATCCATAAATCAATATATACATAGCCGGCGTTAGGATTAAGATAATGGGACTTAGGTTGCAGTGATAAAGTCTTGTTTTTTGAGAGCGCGCCTTTTTTTCTTTTTATGTGTAATGCACTTTACGAACATAACATTACACATACCTTAAAGTGGTGGCAGTCATTGAATGACCCAAGCATCATTTCTTGCAATGAACTCTTTAGGGGATCCATCAATTTAAACTTAATTCTTAAATTGGCTTAACTTCCTTACTGCTATTCTTTCTCATATTCATGTTTGTTTACCATTCGTAATTCTTAACCGGTAATCGTTTATAAAAGGAGGAAAACAAATTAAACCGGTTTTCTATATCAAAACATTGATTATAAAAAATTAACACAAACTAGAAAAAAGGCTTAAAAAAATAAATTTTGATGTAAATTTATTTAAAATACCTTGTATTATAACTTTTAACAACAGTAAAGTGAACAGGATAAAATATGGAGGGTCTTATGAAAATATACAATTAAGAAACCGGTTTTTAAATTTTGCATCAAGCTCACTCGTAGAGAATGTCTACATTTGAAATTACCGCGCTAAATTAGTAACTTGTTCCTTTACTCGCAGCGCCACCGTCGGTCGGCCATTTTTAGAAGTCCGCCAGCGTGCATCGGTGTAAAATAATCGTAAATTTGGAAAAATGAAAGCGAAAGGGCAGGTAAATCGAGCCGAATTTTTAAAATTTCAAAAGCTAATTTTTGTCTGAACCGAAAATTCCAAATTTTTCGGATGTATAGCCTGAAGTTTTGTGTCAAAACTTGCCCCAAATTGTTGACAAGCATGAACACGTGTACCATTGCGGCCTCCTTATGCTTTTCTCAGCACCGTATTTGGACAAAATTTTGTGTTTCTCTCTTGAGTCTGAACATAAAATTCACCAGAAACTTTGTTTTCGTGCTCACAGTTGAAGGAGTTCGAGGTGATCGGCAGGAAACTGCCCACCGGCAAGGAGGTGACCACTCCTCTCTACAAGATGAGGATCTTTGCTCCCGACGGCATTGTGGCCAAAAGTAGATTCTGGTACTTCTTGCGTCAGCTTAGGAAGTTCAAGAGCAGCACGGGCGAGATCGTCAATATCAAAGAGGTTTGAAAAATAACTACTTCAAAATAAGAAAGAAAATTTAAAAAAAAACCAACTTGTCAAAACTACAGATCCCGGAGAGGTCGCCGACCAAGATCAAGAACTTCGGTATTTGGCTTAGATACGATTCCCGTTCCGGAAGCCACAATATGTACAGAGAGTACCGCGACCTGAGCGTGTCCGGCGCTGTCACAAACTGCTACCGTGACATGGGTGCCCGTCACCGTGCCAGAGCTCACAGCATTCAGGTAAAATAAATTCTAAGTTGGAGTTGCAATCCTGGCCCTCGGAGTTAAATGTGAATAATGAATTATGGACCCGAATGATCCAGATCTAAGCTGCTCAATATTTTTTGCAAAGTAATCTTCACAAGTTGTATTATCGACTTCATCTCCATCATATTATTAAGTTATTCTTCTATAATTGTGCTTGAAGTTAAAAGAAATTTTCATATTTTCCGCAGATCATCAAGGTCGAGCAGGTCAAGGCTTCCGCCACCAGGCGCCCCCAGGTCAAGCAGTTCCACGACAGCAAGATCAAGTTCCCTCTGCCCAAGAGAGTTGGACAGAAGACTACCCTGCCCAGATTTTCCATCAAGCGTCCGCGCACTTACTTCTTGTAATTCATTTCCTTTTTGGTTTTGTTTAAGTAATAAAGTGACGCTGATTCTTCTTGGAACTTGCAATTTTGAATCATCTTAATGGCCTTAGTTGCTAGTAATTTAATCATCTGCTAATTATTGAAAATTGATAAATGGCAGAAAATAAATTGTAATTTTTTTTGTTTTGCTACAAAAGTCTTTATAAGCGGTCAATATTAAAAAACTTGATTATTTTTATCAGACATTAAAATGTATAGCCAGTTATAAGAGGTTCAAATCTTCTTGGTTCAAATTAAACTTCACCTTGTCAAAATATTAAATTTATGCAGCGGACCCAATCAGTGCTGCTCTCTGACGGCGCCCAGCTGATGATAAGTAAACATAGTACATACCTCTCATGCTGTGCCGGAGGAGTAAGAGAAATGAACAAAATACTGCTCATTTTCGCTTGTTTGTCTATTCATTCATCAATGTATACTTAGCATCTGTTTTTAACTTTAAGTCTCTTCAGCTAGAAGAAGAATTTTTAATGTTAAAATTTAAATTATGAAGCATATAATTGGCCCAGAAACTTAAAAGAAAATACATAAATTATGCTAAGGAATTTCAGCCGGTTTGCCTTGCGCGGACAAGGTGCATAAAATACTACTTCTTGGTAGATTTGCTTATATTGTTTCTATTACCATTTTAATTTTAGGACAAAGAAATGTTCGTCTATTCGGTGCGTTAAATAATGTGCCAGCAGGTCAGCCGACTTCTTTTACTCACCCACACCTTTTAAAAGAGGGCGAGGTATATTATATAATTTATTTATTTTATTTTTAATACATAATTATAATTTTAAATTTATTGACACCACAGATTCTTCCGGGAATGCGAAAGTGTGAATTTCAACGTCGCAGGTCGCATTTGCTCGAGGAAATTCATAAACAATCGGACGAAAAGGAGGCTCCTGTATTAGCGATCTTCCCATCCGCACCAGAGCAATTCCTGTCCGAGAAAATTCCTCGTCCTTACCGTCAAACCTCAGACCTGTTGTATCTGAGCGGCTGCCAGGAACCAGGTTCTGCTTTGCTCATCAGGGCAGACCGTGCAGCCAGCGAGACAGTCCTGTTTGTTCGAGGCGCCGATCCTGCCAAAGAGTTGTGGGACGGACCTCGATTTGGCGCTTCCAAAAACACAGCTGACCTTTTTGGTGTCGATCAAGTACTTCCGGCTGCAGAATTGAACAGATACCTTGAAGGTTCTGTGAAGGACAGACAACAGACCCCTGCTGTGTGGTTAGATAAATCTTTATTTTTTTTTTTTAACTATAAATTAAATTTTTTAAAGGTATGAAAAGAATGAGTCTCCTTCGCCGATTGGTTCCTTGCGTTCAGCGGCTGACAAATTTGTAGAAAAACAGTCATCCAGTCTGCAACTGAAGTCAACGCGCCCTTTACTTCATAATTTGCGGGTGATCAAGTCGTCTTCGGAAATCGAACTCATGCGCCAGGCAGCCCAAATCGGCGGCCGTGCCATTGCCAAAACTATTTCCCTGGAAAACGTAGTTAACCGGCAGGGTAAGATTTCTCCTCTTTTTTAAATTATTAAATTTAATAATAAATATATTGCAGGTGCTGATTTTGTTGAGGAGAGTAGTATTGCGGCTCGAGTTGAATTCGAGTGTCTCAGGAGAGGCGCCCAACAACTTGGCTACCCTCCAGTAGTGGCGACAGGCACACGGACAAACACAATCCACTATATTTCGAATAACAATAGAGGTCGGAGTGGAGATTTGGCACTCATGGACGCGGGTTAGTTTTTTTCAACTCGAGTAAAGAAAATTCTGTAAATGAGAATCAGTATTCATACCAATCTAAAATGACCAAATTTCTTTTCGGAATCTGTATTATTTAAAAACTGTTAATGGGAGACTGGAAATTTATAAAAAAAAAAAAAAAATAAAATAAAAACAAAACTAAGATGGCCAAAATTTGAACTAATATATTAAGACTGAAAAATTTTTAAAATTGGAATTTTATTCTCTTGGAATTTCAGTAATTTATTTTTGAACGTAAAAGTTTATTTAGTTTGTCAAACAAATTGTTATTAATTTACTGTGGATTTTGCCATAATATTAAATATTTATGTTGGTTTTTCAATTTTTACACAGGGTGTGAGTTCTTTGGGTATAACAGTGATATCACCCGGACGTGGCCCCTGAACGGCCGCTTTTCTGGACCTCAGCTGGCCGCCTACGAAGCTGTCCTTGATGTTCAGCAGCGACTGATCGAATTGCTGAAGACGAATAGACCAACTTTGAATCAATTATTTGCTGAAATGTGCCGGCTGTTGGGTGCCAACTTGAAAGACCTCTGTCTTTTGCCGCCCACGTCAAGCGGACAAGAACTCATGGCAGTGAGTTTCTCACTTCACTTGTTTTTTTGTTTTTTTAACTTTAAGTTTGCAATTTCAAGGGTGCTCACTCTTACTGCCCTCACCATGTGAGTCACTTCCTTGGCATGGACATTCATGATACTCCCTCCGTCTCACACAGCATCCCTGTTCAACCAGGCATGATTATCACCGTTGAACCAGGTAGAGCAATCAATATTTTTTATTTTAAAATTTAATTTATAACAGAAGTTTTTATTTTAATAGGATTGTACATACGACCTGAAAACAAAAGCTCACCAGAGGAATTTAGAGGCATTGGTATTAGAATTGAAGATGATGTTTTGATAACTGAGACTGGTTGTGAGGTACTTTCAAGTGAATGCCCAAAAACACCGGCATCTTTGGAAAAACTTATGTCACCGTCACCAACATCGTGATCAACTGACTGAACCGTGATAATTTATGAAATTGTGTCAAAACTCACAAGTCGAGTCTTCGTACAATAAGACAATTCTAGTGCCTTGACGCATTTTTGTTCTGATTAAAACTTTTATGTTTTTTCGCCATCACCTGACTCGAATTGAATCAAAATCACCAAATAGGTCATAACAGTTCCAACTATCTGAAATATAGATAAAATTATATTTTAGAGTTAAAAAAATATGATATGTTTGGTTTACAGAAGAGATTAGGGCGATGTCCAGTGGGAAAAATCCAAGCGCTGTAAATTGAACCGGGCAGCTTTGCACCTGCATGCTGAAAATATGGACCTAAAAGATTATATATTTTTTCTTTCTTTTTGTAAATACTAAATTTTAGTAAATTACCTCTTCAGAAACTCTGTGGTCAAAAAATTTTTCCACGCTGAGGCGCTGGAGATGGTCGAGGGCCGTGGCCGCCTCGGACGCCACCCTTTGAAACCGGTGGCAGAGAGCGTATACCCTGGCAAAGGCAGCCAAAACGCCAAGAGCAAGGTGGGCCTCGAGAAGGGCGTTTTGTGGCGCCAAAGGCAACTGGCCACGCAGCAAAGTAGCCACCATTGCGTAGAGAAACAATACGACCAGCAGTCTGCCCATCACGATGGTCACCAGCATGTCAAGGCCGTAGCGGTCGTTCACCTCAGAAGCCAAGGTGCGAAGATCGGCATGCAGACGACGAAGGTCGCTCACTCGTGACTCCATAGGCAGCCGCTTCCAGAATAAGTCAGAATTTTTCTTGCTCGCTCCACCCTTTCAGAAATAATTGCATCAAATTTGGAAAGGAAGATTAGTTCAGGGAGTCAATTAATAATAAAAACAATCTTTATGCCAAAATAACTTATTTTGTAAATAAAAATCCTGAAAAGAAGAGAGTTTAAGGAAATAATTTTTATGGTTGTAAATCACAAAAATTATTATTGATTTTGGCAATTTCAAAAAAGTAATTTTTGTGCATTTTCCGCTTTTTTTTTTAATTTATTGCAGAAAATTTAATGATTTGAATTTGAAAAATTATTTAAAGAAATATTTCTGAGCATATAAAAAGAGATATTGAAATTTTTTATATTTACTTAGAGTTTGACTTAAGCTGATTCATTGTAAGCAAGTTTTTTACTTACTGAAACAATGACGTTCTTAAGACCATCGTTGATGAATCCAAAGCCCTTTTCGAGAAACAAGCTCAGTGCCCATATCTGCATGTCGATGGCTAGTGGAGCCAAGTGGATCACGCAGAAGAGCAGCCAGTAGGCAACTTTCTCTGGAGAAAATTGCATCTGCAGAGTGGCTGCCAGACGAAGGGCTTCGCCCACGGCTCTGAGCGTGTCAAAGAGAACCAGCAGATGCAACCGAGGGCTCTGGTCCTTGCTAGGTGGAATTACTTGTGGTTTTAAAACTCCAACTTTCTATAAATACAATGAGAGGGATAAGTTTTTGTTAAATACTGTTTCAATTTTTTTGTATAAATCAAAAATTTTAAACAATGTTATAGTATTTTGGTACATTTAAAAAATGTGATAAAGAAAATGTTAATAAGGATTGAATTATTTTTTTTCCAAAACTTTTTAACTTCATTTGTATACATATTAAATAATTTTTTTAATTTATAAGTCTACAGAACTTGTTCTTCAATTAAAAGATAATCTATTGTATCAAAAAATAGATAATTAATTTTAGAATTTAAAAACAAAATTTTCCATGTTCCATGTTTTGGCTTTTTTTAAACAGAGCTTCAAACCGTGAACAAATTTGCAGTGCGGTCAGCATTCTTCAGAGCCCATAAGATGTTTGCGGCGACAGCGAGCGCCGAGGTGACGACGGCCACCAGCAGCGCCCACAAAACTCCTCCTGAGAAATGTCGCGCGCCCTCGAAGGTCGCCCTGACGACGAAGGGTCCCAAGGCGGCGACTGCCAGTGCCGCGAAAGTCCACAGACCGCTGGCCGCTTTTCCTAAAGTTGACGGTCGGTGACCGTCCGCTGCCACTTCAATAGGAAATACGCCGAAGAGGCGGCCGAAAGTGGCCTGAGCGCTCGACGGACCAAACATGTCTGAATTCAATTTGATTGTGATCGTTCTCAACGCAAGTCCTTGGTGTGAGATTATTAATTCAGCTGCGATTAGGAGCAATTTGAACTGTGATTTGAGAAAATTGATGCAATTATTTTTCTGCTTGTTATACAACAGAAATAGTTCAGTTAGTTTTTAATTCAGATAGTACAAAAGTACAATGAATTAAATTTACCATAAACAAAGATGATTAATTTTTAACATTTTTATTAAATTATTATTATTGTTATACTTATAATCGATTGAATATAAATGGTAATATAATTATGTGTGATTGCAACATTTGGAAAGCAAACTAATTAAAAATAAAATTAAAATCCATAGCGTTCAAAGACATTTTTCTATTCTTGCAAGCATATAAGAATTTAGAACATTTGTTTTGTGACATAAAAATTAAAGCATATTGAGTGGAAATAGAATTCTCATATTAAAACTTTACAAAATTTGCTGTTCATGGTCGAAGTCGAAAGGGAAATTAGTATAAAAATTCTTTAAATATAAAATACAATTTAGTACTATAATCTTTATGCCAGTATTTTTAATTTTTATTCCAAAAATTTATCCCTTGAATATGATATGCAAGACTTTTAACAGTTTTTGTGTGTTTAACATTGCAGCCACTTCAGCAATAATCAGGAAATTAGCAATTGACGTATGAGTATTGAGTGGTGCTCTTTGATTTAAGGTGCAAAAGTTTTTCCAGCACCTTTATGTTTGCATAGGTGGCCAAACAAGCCACTGTAAAAGCGCGGCCTACTTACGCTGACCAAGTTGCCAAGACAACCTGGCCGCGATATATGGAAACGGAATGAGAAGGGGGACGAAAATTTGTGAAAATGTCTCCACACCATGTACACAAATTTTCCATCCACAACATTTGACAATTTGGATGAGAAATCGTTATAAATATTTAAAAAAAACTTTTGTTAGCTTTAAATTCAATTTTGTCTTGTTTTAATAAAATTCAAATTACCCGGACCACGAGAAATAAACTTCTCCCATATTTTATTCTAATTGAGACGAGTTATTTATTGTTTTCCTTGATCGATTATAATTTTCTCCACGCAATGCGGAGACGGACGCGATGCGTCATGCATAATGTAAAGAATAAATAATCCACCGGCGCTCAGCAGGTGTCCCATCAACTTCCATCACCTATCAGTCGAGCGTTAATTTTTCAGCAGACGCACCAAACATAAATTATGAGATGCCACCCCCCCCCCCCCTCGTGTCAAAATATATCAACGAATCTTGGTTGATTCTCCCTCCGCCGCTAATGAGGAACCTGAAGCTCTTTTTATTTGAAAATGAATTCAAAAATCAGGGAGGTGAAAGCAGGGGTGGTGAGAGGGCGCTCGAGGGGTTTTGCTTTTCCCCAGGGGTGGGTGGTGTTCCGTGCGTGTCACTTGACTTTTCAGTAGTCAGCCGGTGGCACGCCAAGCTGTATGGATAATGCACACCCGCTCCAGCTAGGTGAGAATAATGGAAAAAGAAAACATTGTTTGAAAACTTTAGCACAGTGTAGGTTGATTAGGGGTTTCAAGAAATTTGTTTTTGTTTCTGAAGGGCTCTGTTTTATTGCAATTTTTTTTTTCAAATAAGTGTAAACAATGTAGCAAAACGTTTCCTGGAAATTTATACAGACAATAATTTTTTTGGAGTTTTTTACTTTAAACGTTTTATTTTGTATGTCCACCTCAGGTCCACCGTTTTAGAAGGTAATTATTGTTAAAATTTTTCAAAGTAAATACTGAAATTGATATTATACTGTGTAAATCTTTTAACTAAATATATTATAAAAAAAATTGTTAGCGATTGAAGCGATTCTGATTTTTATGAACAAATTGTTATTGGTCCAATTATTTATTCACACTTGTAATTTAAACGTTTTATTTATTTAGTGAAAAGAAAAATAAAGAATAATAAATGTTGACTATTAATTGCAAGATAATATTGGTTAGAGTCTTGAATTGTTGGCATACTTTGTCAAATGTTCCGAATTCGTGCAGCTATTTGCAGTGCAATCCGTTTGTGCAAACGGCAGCTAGGACTGTCGGCAACGGGAGCAAAAATTAAATCGGCCAAATCGATTGTGCGCCAACAGCACACACGCGAATCGCGTTTGTTTGCTCTCGAGCAAATAATTTTGTTTGATTGCCGTGCTCACTACGGAAAGCAATCAAGGCGCAGAATTGCGGGCAAAAAAACCTTTTCCTGAATTGACAATATTGACATTTAAATTTTAAATTATGCCTAATTTGCCAGGAGTCGATTATGAGTAAATTCACAATTCACTTGCTTGCTTTATTTAAATTTTACTGTTTTAATATTTTACTCCAGCTATTTATTTTCTAATATTAAATAATGCCTTCCTACAAATAAATACAAATTTTATTTCATATTTTGAATTATTTGTGGCAATCTTAGAAGAAAGCAGAAGAAAGTAACCTAAAATTTTATGACAAATTTAATACAAATTTGTAAATTTTTTTTTTTTTAATGATTGTTTAAATTTTATTTTGTTTTAATAAATTAAAATAAATATATCATCATAAACTCTCAAAATTTTAGGCTTTTAAATAAAATAAATAATAAATTTATAAATTCACAAAACAAAATTAATACATTTTTATAGTTGCGTAATATATAATTTCATTCTGTTTTATATTTAATTATAGAATAAACTAAAAAATCTCAATACGTATTTGCACAACTGTGAAGTGGCAGCGTCGTGTGTGTCGAGGAGTGTACGTGTTTTATTCCTGGGATTGCGTGCGTTTAATTAGAGCCCGGGCTGGCGGGACAAGTCGAGCGAGAGAGAAATTAGGCATCCGCCTTTTAATTTGCTGTCGCGCCTCATCTGAAATTTAAATCGCTTTTCCGCTCGCACCCGACCAAATGGAAATTTTCCGCGGCCCTCCGTCTCTGCATTGCACCAACCGCCGGCGTGCTTTCTTCTCAACCAACTCACTTTATTCACCTGCGGTCTTAAGAAATAATACAGAAAAAAATTTACAAATTTTTGTTGAATTAAATTCAAATAAATTTCAACTGAATTTAATTTTAAATTAAATTTAAATATTTCAAACATCATCTCTAAAATGAGTTTTCGTTTGATTTTTCTTCAAAAAATTTATAAAATAATTTAAGCCATATTATTTGTTTCATCCTCATTTAAGATTATTTGACCTTTTTAAGTAATAAATAAATTTTTAATTTCAATAATTAGCATTATCTGATCGGTGTGTTTGTAAATTTATCTTCAGCTGCGGCTGCCAGATGATAGCGCAGGACAAGAGGGCGCCCGCCGACCTGCAGCCGGGGTCAGCCGTGGCCCCGGCAGCTGAGCCAAACTACACGAAGCTGTCGGAGAACCTGCGAAAGGTGACCCCTCCGACGTTCCAGTGCTCTGTCTTCTGCGGGGGCCGCAAGTGCAAGTACGAGACCTCGGCCCACTGGCGACCCGAACAGATGGCCATTCCTGGCGTCTTCTCCCACTGGTACTGTACTCGCGATCCTTTCCCAATTCAACTCTATAAACTTTTTTCCCTACAAGGGTGACTGACGACATCGTGGCCATGGCACGACCCAACACCGAACTGATTCAAAAGAAGCAACTAATCCAGCACTTTCAAAAGTAGGAATTTCTTTTTATAATTAAATATTCAAGATTTTTAAAAAAAAAAAAAATGGATTCATTCAAAGACTGATGAATTTAATATACTATTATTTTTTTAATTCACTAAAAACGTTAATTCTGACAGCCAATCTTTGCTAATTTCACTATTGGTAAGCAAGATGCAAGACCATAGAAAAGTTTTTTATACTTCTTATGGCTTTTTGTATACATGTAATATTATTTTGTGTTCTAATATTGATACTAGTCACTATTCTCAGTAATAATTACATTAAAAATCTTCAACTAAATGATTAAAATTAATGTTAATATTATTTAATGCAAATAATCTTGATGAGAAGAAACTCAAAGATGGGTTTTCTATATAAAAATTATCCCACAGAAAAAATGCGAAAAAAGAACAACTTTGAAATTGGTGCATTCATTCCTATTTTATTAGGTCGAAATAATCAGGCTTTTGGCTCAAAGATCTGTGAAAAACTATTTTAAATGAAATCTAAGCCCAAAATTTTTGTAGTTTTTTTTTTCGTTCAAATTCTTTGCTCAACAAATCTTGGAATATTAAGATTAAACCTAAAAAATTGGTGTTTTAAAAGTCTTGTATTTCGCCTGTTAAAAAAATCTATTTGTAAAATTTTCAAAAATATTCAGAAATGTTTTACATTTTCCCGGATGTTGCTGTTGTTTCGCTAACACGTAAAATAGTAAAAACACCAGCTTTTCTGGATCAATTATTTCGCATAAATTTGTTTCCATCGCGGTATGGCCATGGAAGAAATTGCTGGGCACCTTGACACAAAGTCGATAAGAGCCATAAAAAAATCGACGTCACGTGCGCATCTGAATTTTGCCTTTATTTGAATTGAATCGATTGAATTAATAAAAAAATCCTTATATAATTTGCAGACTGGGCATCAACTCGATCATAAACCTGCAGCTGCCAGGCGAACACTCAAGCTGCGGCAACTGCCTCGAGGACAGCGGCTTCACCTACGACCCTAGCACTTTCATGAAACACAATAGTGAGTGCCGAAGCCAAATTAAGCTAATTCATCATAAATTAAAAATGATTTATAAAATAATTATATTAAAAAATTTTAGGAAAAAATAAACTCTTCTTAAAATTAAAAATGTTCCAAAAAAATAACCAAAAATATATATAATATATAAAATATTAATTTATGAAAACATTTCCTTGGCCATAAACTTTATAAAAACTTCATAAAAAAATCAAAATTAATTATATTTGTTTTTAATTGAATCAAAATTCGGCATTAATGTAAAAAATAAGAATTTTTTGCAGAAATACCTTATAAATTTTTCTCTTAAAACTTTTTTATTTAAATGTCACATTTTAACAAAGTTCAAGCAACTCTGCATTTTTATCGCCTGCAATCCACGACGGTTTTTTATATAACTTACGCCCGACTTGCGGGCTGCATGCCTTTTCATGCTCCTACTTCACCAAAGTAGGCAACGCGTGCGTCACTCGAGATAAGCGGGCTTGCCTGCTTCCAACTTTGCAGGAGGCATTTATATTTTCTTCATTAATATCATGATTTTGGCAGTTTTCTTTTACAACTTTGGCTGGAAGGACTACGGCGAGGCGAGTCTGACCAGTCTGCTGGACATGGTCAAGGTGATGGCGTTCGCCGTGTCCGAAGGCAAGGTCGCCGTCCACTGTCATGCAGGTGAGTAATTGATTTTTATTTTCAATCCGTTTGGCGAGAATAGTTTGAACAGAAGATCGACGGGAATTGCGTGTAGAGGCACTTATTAATCCGTGCCGGAATTAGACCCGGGGAAAGTTGTTGGCGCAAGAGAAGCAGAGATGGCTGATAAAATTAAGCAGGGAATAAAAGTGACCTCGATCTCGAAACGAGGAGATTTACGACCACTGCAGGAAAAAGCCAATTTTCACTTCGAAAAATGTTTTTATTTTATAAAACTTGTATTTTTCCGGTTATGATTTAAAAAAAAATCGTTGATAAAATTTCCGCTTTTGATTTTTATATTTTGAATGTCAGCTTTTATTTTTTCCGATGAATATCGCATACGTCGAGTTCTGGGGCAACTTGCATTTGCGTCATCGTTCAAGAACAAAAGGAATAAAAAATAAAGAACGCAGTTTAATCTTGCGTTTTAATGCTGATATAAATAAATTGCCGAGATAGAGTCTCGAGTCGGTGGTCAGCTCGCGAGCAAACGGAAAAGAATTGCTCTCGGTGTGTGTGTGTATGCCTGATATCCAGCGACGTGAGATCGGAAGGGTCAGGCACGCGAGCCGAGCACGAATCGATGTGGGAAATTCTTCAAATTTAAGTCTGCCCCTTTTTCTCAAGTGTGTAGAACCTCGTGGTGCCGGGGAATGTTTTGTTTCCAGGCGATAAATTTTGCCTTTCACAAATTTCTCTTGCGCTTATTTTCATACTAAATCAATAATCCTTGGAATTAAATTTCTTATCATGCGGTAAAAATGCACAAAAAAGATTAAAATCAAGACTGGGTTTCATCCTCTTGAAAATTTTGGCCGATCAAATAATTTTTTCAGCTCCAAAATCATCACATGAGCACAAATTATGCGATTTTAAGTCAAATTGACCCATTTTCATGTTGACCAAAACCGACTAATTATGTGTAAAACCTAAAAAAAAAATAACTAATGTGTCACTTTTGAAGGAGAAATAATTAGTAACATTTAATTCTCGTTTAAAAAACTTGTCTGATTTAAATAAAAAAAAAACTAATTTTCAAAAGTTGCTAAACGATTATTTCACGATTTTTTTTTTTTTTTTTTTTTAAATAATAATTGTGTTATGAAGTTACGCTTTTCTGCAGGTCTTGGCAGGACGGGCGTGCTGATCGCCTGCTACCTGGTGTACACGTGTCGAGTGCGAGCAAACGACGCGATTCGGTATGTTCGCTTGAAGCGTCCGAGCGCCGTTCAGACCCGCGGTCAGATTCTGTGCGTGCAAGAGTTTGAACAGTTCGTACTTCCGCAGTGCATCGTTTTCTGCAACAAGTCTGGCTGAAATTATTTAATTCTCGGAAATATAAAAACAATAATTTCTTTCGTGAAACAGAGACTTTTTGAGCAAAGACAAGAAGGTGGCCGAGTTCTCTCTGGTGCAGTACCTCAATCGGCAGCGCCTGATTTTGCACGGAAACGAAGTCAGGGCCTTCAAATACGTACCAAAGGTGCGCGTAAATTTAAGGAAATAAATTTTTAATATCTTTTTTCAGATTTTGTTCATTTTGTGCGAGAGACTGATTAAATTGAGCGGCGGACGCACCACCGAGCTGGACTCGGCGACGCCATTCACAAGAGCCTTCATCGCGCACCGCGTCAACCCGGACAGGCACCATCTCGGACGGGGTGGTAGCGGAGACTCGAGTAACTCAAATAGTTCGTTCAAAATTTTTTTGTAATTTTCAGCGATTATTCAGAAAATTTAAATCTATTTCTATTTTTTATTTTTAAATTTCCTTTAAACATTTATAAATTTGGAACATATATTTTGATATTTTCCAATTTTTTCAAAATTTAGCGCTCCATTTTTCAAGGGCTCAAAAAATTGCCAATCTCATTTCTTTGCAGAAGAATTAGAATATGAAAAAAAACTCCTTTTAAATATTCAAAACTGCGGTTCTAACATACTTAAATAAATCAGGATAATGAGAAACTTACTGTTGCTGTTCATTTTATTTATACAAAAGAAATTAAAAATGAATAAGCACCTTAATGCATATCATTCAAAAAAAATTTAATTAATTTTTGATCAAAACTGATACGATTATACCAATCAAAAAGTTTAAAAATTCATAATCAAATAGTCACAAACAATTTAATGCAGATTTAATGCATCATATCCAATCTGCAAAATATAATATTTATTGGATTCCTTTTTTAAAAGGTTCAACGTGCCGGCCAAGCACCGCAGAAATTGAATGTGATCTCGGAGTTTCGAGTGGTAGCAGCAGCACCACTTGCATTTCCCCAGACATGCCCTCTTGTGCTTCCGGAATGTCAGGTAATTATAATTTATTTCATAATAATTAAAAACAAAAAGTTAATCCAAAATCCCCTGGAATTTTTTCTCCACTGGAAGTGTTCCCCCAATTTTTAGCATTATAAAAATTACTATTTTTTCTATTTCTCTGGAGAGAATTGAGATTTTTTCTTACCTCTTATGCCAAAATGTAAAGCGTGATTTCCATCAAATATCGTGCTGAGAATAGCCGATGGAAATCTCGCGGGGCTCAAGGAAGTGGAAAATCATGCAATCCGCACGTCATCGCCGTCCTGCTGACGCGCGAGGTCCCTCGACGGTTTCGTCACTTGAGGAAACGCTAATGCAAATTTTGTGTATAAACGCGGACGCAGGTCTCGACGACAGCGGCGTGGACGCGGTGCTGGGCGACGGCATCGTCGGCCAGAAGCTGCAGGAAAACGAGTGTTACCAGGAATTGAGTTCGCAGATCGATCTTCGTCAAGCGGCTGCCAAGGAGGACCTCAAGGGAGCCGCCGGCTACGTGGCCGACGCACTCCTCGCCGATCATTCCAAGGAACCACTCAGAAAACAGGTCCGTTTTTTAAATTTAAAAAAAAAATTATACTTTTAATGAAAAAGTTTGTACTCGAGGAGGGGTTCGAGGAAGTGAATTTTTCCTCAGTTGAAAAAATTTATTTTTGGTACAAAAGTATAGTTTTTTTTAATTATTCAAAAATTAACAATTTTCTCAACGATGACAAAAACCCCGTTTTTCTTCTTGAAATTATAAATAACTTTTTAAGTTTTAAGCACATTAAAGATTTTTTGGGTGTTTTTTTTTTTTTTTAGGTGAAGCAAATTCGAATTGACCTCAACTCGCGCTACTCAACAGTGGACCGACTGCGGGTCGAGTGTGATGCACAACTGCTGGCGGCCGTGCTGTTCGAATGGCTTGAGCACCTGAAAATTCCGATTATCACCAAGGAAGAGCTGAGTGCCGTTGTGGTTCGCGGCGAGAATCTCAGCATTTGCTTAAAAAAGTTTGACGCTGTAAGTTTATTTATATTTCAACCATTTTTATTTGAAAGTTGAAGAAAATCCTGATTTTTAAGCAGAAAATATCAATATCTTAGATTATTTTTTTCCAACGTCATTTAAAGAAAATTTGAAAATTTATTCTTCTATTCATTAAAAAAAAAATCCTTTCGAATCTCATGCATTTTAATATAAATAATTTTTTCTCTTGAAATTTAAATTACTCCTAAATTTTTAAGAGTGCGGCCCATACACTGGAGTACCTGATTCGGTTCGTAGCTCGGCTCCAGGGCATCGGTCGTGACGTGCAGATGGACCTTGTGCGCCGTTTGGCCGCATCGCTTACCCACCAGTCAGTGGTTGTTCGTGGACTTCTGCAGCCCACACGTAAAAATAACATAAATTTAAAAAGAAAAAAAAATATTTATATAAAATAATTATGTAATTATATTTTAGTGAAAGAATTTCAAAAGCTGCGTGAAGGCACCCTGAAAGTGTTGATCAACTTCCTGATGATGTTTCTGAGCCAGATGGAGGAAACCGGCGAAGAAACTTGAGAGACTTGAGGAAAGTTGATTTTTGGGAAAACTTGTAAAATCTGCTCATGTGCAGTTTCTGGGAAGGATAAAATCAAACAGGTCATTGTATACCGCACCTTTGTGACTTTGCGCACCCAAGACGCATTATTAAAATTGAAAATTTTAACTAGTTTGAAAAAAATACGCATAATTGTTCTCCATTACGTGGACGTGTAATTGAAGCAATAAATCTCAAATTTGCTGACCTCAATGTTTGTCAGCGTGTGGAAAGTTATTCAATCAATCAATTTTGATGCTTTTTATTTGAAATTATATAAACGGAGGGATTTAAGTAATGAGAAAGAATCTTTTGATAGATTAGTATTTTGTTTTTATTGTAAGATATGAGATTCAACTATGATACATTGTACAAAGATTACAGTAATCGTTTTTATTTAATTATATATCCGTTGTTTTCCTCCGAATCTCGGTTTGTTTGCTGCGTTCACAAAGACCGAAAATTTCCAGTTTCGTCTACGAAGAAAAATCCCTATCAAATTCATTCAAGACCGGAGGATAAAATTATATAAAATTAAATAAGATTGCTTTGGTAATGCATGTGTGTCTCCGTCTGCGAATAAAGAAAACATATTAATCGCACCGTGGTTTCCTCGATTGTACTGCGAATTAATCTGAGAAATTGACAAAAAAAGAAGCAAAATTTATGAAATCGTCAAGACGCCAGCTGCTCCGCGAAAATGTTACAAAAAAAAATAAGCCTCCTTCAGAAATAAAGAAAGCCAGGTGGGACTAGTAGTAGTTGCTGCATGAAAATAACTTAAAACCGTTTTGATTTACTGCATAACGTAAGTACCTTTTCTTAAATGATTTTCAGTGGAAAGTGAACGATGAATGCTGAAGGAATGTCGGTTGGAAAAAATTCCCGGCCAACCGCCCTCCGTCCGAATGCACTCAGAAAATTGAGCTGGTTCCGCAGAGACGGGGGGTGGTCGTTATTTTTCTGTCTCGGTAAAAATTCTAAAGAGAAGCTGCGTGTTTTCTTCAGTTAATCAAGAGAGTATTCTTTTAAGTAACTCGATATTTCTTTAGTTCCGTTAATTGGATATCTTTTGTAGTAGTGTTTAGTTTTGTGTTTTTTCTTCTTCTTCGCCTGCTGAATCTAAAACATTTAGCCCTGTTTCTTCTTTCATTTAGGTATCAACATCGATCAATCAAGATAATTGTTATTCTTCGCGTCGATTTGCTCGTATGGCACACTGAACATGTATAAAATACTTGCTGGCAGTTTCGGTTAAATCTTCCACTCGGATGGTTTTTAGTCCATTCTCCGTCGCAGAGAACCAAACAATATTCAACGCATTTTTCAACAACGAGGGTGCGAAATAATTTAAATGACCAAGGGGAGAGTGACTAGCACCAAAGTTCTCTTTCAGCCCTCGCCACGCCTCTGAGTGATCACAAAATTTCATAAAACCAAATCCAAAATTACTTGAATTCTATCCGAATAATTAAAAGTATGAAAATATAGGATTGAAATTTTTCTACTTGGTCCAAAATGCGTTGTTAAATTTTAAACAAATTAATTAAACAGCTTTCTATGCCAAAGGAGTAAAATTTGTCATCACTAAGAGGAGGAAAGTAAAAAAAATTAATCTACAAAATGACTTTCAAATAACCTTTAAAGACGGGGCGGGACGCGACTGGGTGGTCGGTTCATTCGACAAAATCAAAGCTGCGCACATACCAAACAGTGTATGTACAAAACTGACTTGCGTTTCGCCGGATGAACAAAATCCTCGGAAAACACAGAAGCATGCCGTGTGTGTGCTGCATAATTTTTTAAGAGTCCTACTGTAGTAAATAGCTTCACATTGGGTGGCTGGGGTAACACACCAACAACTCTGAGGTGGGCAGGGGTAGCTGCTGCTGTTCCGGAAGTGTGTGGAATGCCAATCGATTCGAAGCAGGAGAGTTTTCGCGACGTTGGTGGTGAAATCGAAAACAATTCGTTCGTTTGACTACGGTTAGAGGTATTTTCTTTTCTTCTTCTGATTATGCTGCGATTTCATGTTGTGAGTGTGTGTGAGTACGACTTGGTTTTGAGCTAATCTGACGGTGAGGCGTCCAGGTTACGCGGCGCCAGCTGTCAGGACTTAGGTAGCTCCGATTCAGGCAGCACTTGCCGGTCAGTTGCGGCCGCCAACAAGTTGTTGAATTCTATTTCCAGAATCTGTCGCACCTGAAAAAAAAATATATTAGAAATTAGAAACAATTACTAACAAATCCATATTGCAAAAAATGGGATTGAAGTTTTATTAAATTAATTTTAAAATTTGGAATTAATTAATTGTTAATTTAATCAACACCTTTGGATACTTGGTCTTAAAATAGGTAGTGAAATATTATTTACCTGAGTGTTTTGAGTTGGAATTTTCAACGCCAAGGCTAGGCTGTTTGCGTCAAAAGCTTCATCCAGTGCAATCAGAGCACCGTGCACACCTGACTCGACCAGATTATTGGCAAACTCCTAAAGATCCAATGTTAACATTCTGTCAAAATTGATGTGTAATGAATGCAATACCTTAAGGCCCATGCTTGTGACCCACTTGATGACACGCTCATTGGACCAGACCAGCACGTCCGACAGTTCGTTCTCACAAGACTTGCGTCGCTCTTCTAGCTGTCGACGGTCGTAGTTAAGTCGTTTCAGGCATGATATACCAAACTGCAGGCTAGTTCTAAAACGAATAGACATAGATATTTATTAATAATGTAGTGAATGAAATATTTATTTGCTACAAATTAATGATGGAAAAGAAGCAAACCTGTGAAAACTGTCGACCATCTTGAGTTGTCCTCTGAGGTCCTTCTTGTTGAGGTGGTCGAGCATCCGCGCATCGACGAGGCACTCCATGAAGGTGGTTCTGTACTGTGGAAGGCCGAGCGAGGGGAGCCACGCGTTGCCAATCCACTCGTGATTCATGTCACCAAAAGCGAGAGTGGTTCGCGAAGTTTTCGGCGCTGACGGACTAGTCAGAGAAACCATCTCCTGGATGGCCAGTCGCAGCTTCAGCCGATGAAGAGGATTACTGAAAATTTCAATTTAATGTAGATTTGAAAATTGATACTAACAACAATGACTAAGTGGTGGTGCCCCTTTTTAAAACGATTTCCTTTTTTTAAATACACCACATAAAAATCTCTTATTGAAAGAAATGCTTTTTCAATGCTTGAATGTAGACAATATTGGATATATAAACAGCATTAGCAGTAATAATTATCAAACTTAATTTAATATAATGATGAGTTGATGAGGTAAATAGAATTTTTACCTGATTCCTATCTCCCTTTGGATTTCGGTGTCGCTGAGGGCACTCATGATGGCGCCTGACTTGACATTGGCTCGGCATGCAGCAACGTACCACGCAGGCATACCGACCCACAACTCAAGCCATGCGACTATCGTCGGCCCGTTCCACAGGGCGAAGGGAGTGCCTGCTTTCATCGCCTCGGCCAACAATTCATGTCTGGAGAAGTTGCTAAAAAGAGAGCAATCGTTTTAACAGTGCCTCTTAATGTTTGATTAAATACAGGAAAACTATTAAAAATTAATATTTCATTTAAGAGATGTATAATTACTTTTTCTTTTTCCTTCGGTCAAAGTCTCCCTTTTGGCCAAGGCTTTCAGCAAGTGAAAGGGTGTCACTCGAACACATCATTTCGCTGTCCACATAGAGGCCGTGCGACGAAATGCCGTCCACACTGGAAAGCATGGGCGAGTCTTTGCTGTTTGAAGACTGCTTCACCTTGTCCTTCTTGCTGAAGAAGCGGCCGAGTGATGATTTTATGCCTTTTGACTTCTTTTGAGGCGCGTTTTTATGCAGCGAGTCTTGACTAAAAACGTAAATTAGCAAGAATTCAAAAGGCGGAACTTTAATTGCTAATGAAGTGCTTTAATCAAAATATTTTTCAAATAAAAAATGAACATTTTAATTTTGATTAAAACATAGAAATGTTTTATAGGAAATTCAATTTGTAAGTGCGTAAAACTTTTTGAACAGAAGTAAAGTGAAATTGTGTTGAAACAAACCTATTATCTAACCTGCGAAGTTCCTCTGTGCTGTGAGCGAGTGCCTGAGCAACCCGCTCAAGCCTGAGGGACCTTGCAGCGTTGGGCCCGAGCCCCGCGGTGCCGTAATGGCCCCCGGGGGAGCCCCCCATCAAAGAGGAGCCGCCGATAGACGAGAGGCCGGCGAGCGAGTTGGAACTGGCGCCGGCGGGCAACGTCATGGCGCCGGCGCCCATCATGGGTGGCGAACTGTCCTTGAGCGATCGGATGTCCTCCTTGGACAGTTCGGCGCCGGACAACTGTAACTGAGAGCCCCACTTCTTTAGGCATAAGGAAACCGCTCGGCCCGACAGTACGCAAAGCGACAGCGGCAAATTAAAATACAGAAGCACGGGTCACTTGGGAACAAACCAGAGAAAGAGAGAGAGACGGACAGACATTGGTGAAGACAAAATAGACAAAAATTGCTGCCATGAATATATACATAATTTTTACAACCGAAAAAATTAACTTTATAGGTATGAATGACATACATTTAATTACAATACATATAATTGCTTAAATTTCAAGAAAAATATTAACAGTTAAGCCAATATTTAGTGTTTATTTGAATAAATATTTTATTTTGTATTATCGGTATTATCTACAGAAATTTTGGGTGCATCGTGTATCAAACCTATTTTTTAACTTCCATGACAGAGCGACTCACTCTAAATTTTTAAAATATCTGAACAAGCCTGTGTGGGATTTTCTTTTTAAATATAGATGCGTAAAACAGGGAAGCAAATCGGGATACCAAGTTACTGCGTGCGGATTACTTTTGCCGAAATCTACTTTGTGCGGGCGCTTTTTACAACATACAAAACAATAAAATTTAAACCAGCCAGTTTGACGGGCGTTTTTTTTTTCACATCCATGTGACTCCTCGAATTATCTTTTCAACGTCAAACCAACGTAATTATTTTCCTATATTTAAATGGGGGATAAGGGGTGAGAGCAGCACAAATGAAAGAAGCGTGCGGCGATGGCGCGACCGCCACTTTAAACTTTATCCTCCGCGTCTCACCTGACTCGTCGGCAACGATTCTGACAATTGGCCTGGACTGATGGCCGCCGAGTATTGGTGCGAGTGGGCGGGCGACATCGCGGCCGGCGCCTGAAACAGCGTGCCACTCGTAGCCCAGGGGGTAAAGGGCGTGTTTGCTCGAGAAAGGAGGTTTTGGGAGTGAAATGATGAAGTGAAAATTCGCGATTGTCGTTAAACGGAAAGAAAGCAAACAGGTCACTTACGGTGTGGTACTTGTGCAGGTAGTCACGTTGGGGCGAGTGGTGCGAACGCGGCGTCGAGCGGCCTGACTGTGGTGGTGACTGGGATGGCCGCTCGAAACTGCGCCCTCTGGTCAGCAGATTCATGTGCTCCAGGCTGCCGACGCGGGACTCGAGCTCCTCAGCTCGCGCCTCTGTACTCTGTTTCTCCTCTTGAATCAATCTGTTGAACATAAGTTCAAACCTGATTTCATAACTTAGATCGGAATGAAGCCAGAAAAATGAAAAATGCATTTTATTGTTTAAAAAAAAATCAAATGATTGAACAGAATGAACTGCAAAGCTACATGATTGAATACACATAATTTAATCAAACATTTTTAAATAAAAATGAAAAAATTATAAATAATTGAAGTAGAATCTCACTTTATTTTGAATTGTATTACAATTCTTTTCAATACTAATAGGAACAAGCACAAACTAAAAATAATATTCTTTTCAACTGTGTAAAAAAACTGCTTATCTATTATTACCTTATTTCATTGTTGATGGCATCAAGCTGCTCCTGCAACATCATGGCAAGAGTCTGAGCATCTGTGTGTCCAGATGGTGAGAGCATATCAGCAGCCGAGAATAAACTCTCAGAGTCGTCAGCCTCAGCGTCGCTCACATCAAACGCCTGCTGCACGTTTGCCAGAACGTGCGCCTGCTGAAGTTTCTCCCACTCCTGCTCAGCCAGAGTGCGGACCTGCTTTAGTTGCAAAATAAATTTTCCCTCCAATCCTTGAACTAAAAACTTACTTTGCCAGGGTCGTCGTCCAGGGCGGAGAGACGGCCCTTTTGTGCTCTTCGCGGAAGTGAGTGTGCGTCAAAACTAGAATGGCTTGAGCTGCGGACAAAGTTAGGCTCTCCCGTTGAGGGTGATAAACTCCTGAATCAAAAACAAACATCAAACTTTAAGTCTATTATTAAGTTTGAATTGGGTACCTAGTGAGGGCGTCAGTCTGCTGGATGTTGAAGGCTATCTCCTGTTGGATGATTTGGCGCTTGGCGTTCTCACACTCAAGCCGCGTTTTGCCCAGCTCCTTCATGATATCGCCCTTTTCACACTGAGTGTCCTCAAGGAACTTTCGAGTCTGCTCCAATTCCTGTGCTAGCGCGTTCTTCTCCTCTAAGGCATGCATTCGCTCTTGAAGATGCACCTGCAGTCTCTCATTGCTCTCTGATAAATGAATTTCAAATAAAAATAATTTCCATTTAATACTTAGTATTGAGAGTAAATTACCAGAGAGAAGTTTATCGACTGTGGCTGAGAGGCGCGCATTGTGCTCCTCATTCATCTTGAGTCGCTGGCTTTGTCGGATCAGCTCTGCATTCTTTTCCTCCAGCTGATTCTCCAGCCTCAATATTCGGTCCTCCGCTGATCCATGTCTTTCTTGGGCCTAAATGGTTTTTTAAGAATTAGTACAAAGAGATCCCAGAGTAGCCTAATAAGCAACCAGCACTTGGATGATTTTGAGTTGGCCGAATTTTTCAATTTTACGAACATGCCATGCACCAAGAACTGCGTCTTTGTTATAAGCAGACGCGTTTCAATGTTGAAGTACATTTTTGAATTGCATAATTTGGTTGACCAACTCAACTAATTTCCACAACACAGATAACAGTTCTTGGACGCAGATCATGCACACTGACTGACGCGTGAGAATTTGAAAAAAATTCATCCATTTGCCATGTTTGTATGATGTGTGAATTGTGTGAGTGAAAGATGAAAAAAATTATTTGAATGTGCGAAAGTTGGCAATAAGGAGACTAATGGAATCGTTTCTTTTTCCCAGGCAGGCGGTGCAGCACAATTTTAGGCCTACCTGAGCCCTTACCTGGGTAAGGGCTTCCATGCGCTGCTTCAACTCCTCTTCCATTTCTGGCAGCTTGGCGAACTGAGCCAGTTTCTGTTCAGAAAGTTCCAGTTTCTCTTGGATTGCCAGGCACTTCTCATCTTGCAACTGTTGAAATTAATTTCAGCTTAAAATTCAAAAGCAAGTCAAAAGTATACCTTCAGCTGCGCTTCTTTGTGCTTCAGCTCCTGTTCAAGCTTACTATTCAGGTCGTGCAGAGACGTAGATTCGCGCTGCGCGTGCAAGTATCTCTTTTCTAAAGTCGCAATTCTCTCCTCCTAAATTAAATTACTTGATTAGTTCAATAAACTATAATATCAATATTATATTCAATTTTTTTTTATCTTTTTCATCTATATGTGAATTGAAAATTTCAGCAAATCTCTTTTATTTTCATGAAATAATGCCTTGAGTCTAGAATAATTTTAACTAAAAATCAGTACCTGGTCCTCTTTCTGCGCCACATTTTCCATCAGATCCTGCTGCAGTTTGGCGCTAGTGTCCTGCAGCTTGATGACCTCCTTCTGCGCTTTTGACAGGTTCTCTTCAAGTTCAGCTACTCGCGAAGTCAGCTCGGCTACCCTTCGCTGAGCGGCAGTCAGTTCCGCACTCTAGTAAAACGCATAAAATGACGATAAGAACATGGATTTTGCACAAGTTTCACAAGTAAGCCGTGCAATTGTACATTTTTCAGAAGGAAAAAATATTTTGTTGGTGTGGACTGAGGTGAGAGAGAAGATGACCCTCACCTGGTCGCCAGCTAGGCGGTCAACTACAGCGTCGCTATCAGAGCCATTAGGCAGATGCTGCTTTGGACAAACAACCAAAAACAAAATCAAAACAGACGACACATTCAAAATTAAAATAAAAACAGAACAAACAGAGCAGTAGTAAGATGAAAAAATTTCCATGCTTTTTTTAATTTGTTTTACCGACATGTATAACTAGAATCTACAACTCACTTTGGCAGCTACGGTTGCATTCAACTGCTGCTGCTGATTCTGCTCCTTTGTCGGCTCATGACCGTTTTCCAGTCTCGGCAACTCATTTGTCTTGTACTGCTGCAGCTGCAAATTTAAAAATAGGTTTTAATTTTAATTTAACGAAAAATATTAATGGAGAATGCAAATTACAGAAAAATCAAAATTTAATAATTTAGATCTGCACAATGATTCAAACTTTTTTTAGATCTAAATTATTTTTATGAATAAAATTCATACATTTATTAACTTTTCAAGTAAACCATAGCAGAGGCTATCATTTCATTGGTTTAATTTGAAATCTATTGAATCAAATTTTATCGAAAAATCATTTAAAACACTACAAAGATCATGATTTCAGTTGTACAATTTTTCTATTTTTTTTTTCACCCCTTCTACTTGTGTATAATTATTTTGTACCTCGTCTTTGGTTGCGTTGAGCTCCTCTTCAAGGGTAGACACCCTTTCGAGGGCGACCCTGAGACGCTCTCGGACCTTTTCATCAAGGGCCTTGTGGTGCTCGAAGAGCGACTTGAGCGCCTTCAGCACCTCAACCTCGCTGGAAACGCCTGACTGGGAGGCGGCCTGTCTTTTGACCACTGTCATTCGTAACGACCTCTCATGGCGAGACACTAGACACTCCAAATGCTCTAACAGGAGCTGCAAATATTTGTAAAAATTGAGAAAAAAATTAAGAGACTTTGGGTCTTTACTCTTGTGTTGTTGCGCTCAGCCTTGAGCTCTGATATTTCCTCCTCTTTTTCTAGGAGTCGCTCTCTTGACTGGTTCAGTTCTTTGGTCAGCGTTGCAAATTCCTGAAATTTTTATCACGAATAAAAGGAAAGGAAAACAATTATTTGGGCAAAGATGGGAATGGGTGGGGATTTGTCATTTTAAATCACATTAATTGACTTACTTAATATTCTTCTTCTCAGCCAGATCTCATTATAGTTAAATTAAAAAAGTATTCAATTTCAGCCAGTCAAATTAAAGTTTTCACTTCTTTTAATATTTTAATTATTAGAAATCTAACAATTCAGAAGTTAACAAATTGAAGTTTTTGCTTTTGGTTTTCTAAAAAAAATTAAGCAGTCTCTTTATAATTCTCAAGTGGCTATTATCACAAAACAGGACACTGTTTATTTTTTATTGATTGAAAAATATATGCTTCAAGTCCCTGCTTTGAGCGTTTATGAGCACCCGTGTCTCTCTCCCATATCAGCCAGCCGAGTCGCCAGACAAACCAACAATGGGCTCGCCTGTTGAGCCTGCAAATTATAGTCTCGGCTAAAAATGTCTCGTCTTGCAATTGAGCTATCTGGAGGCGGTTCGCCAAGTGCTCGTAAAGTCGATTGATTGCAAATTTTATACACCGGCGGCGCCTTGACGTTTCGCAGAAGCAGGACTACTATCTCGATTGTTTCCATTTTGGGAATCAGCCGCCGCCGGCGGCGCACATCCTGCCTCACAATTAGCATTTCAATTTCGCACCAGCCGGATCCAGTTATAAACACTATTAACCAAAAATATGAGTTTTGCTGAAATAAAGATACAATGAATGAGAAGTTTTAGCTGAAGACTTTTATACTCCCAATCTATCAAGAAAGAAGGTCGCTTTAGTGATAATGGAACTTCAAGTGTCATAAATTTTACATATTGGGGAGTTCTCACGACGGCTCCGTTATCATCGTCTATTGTTTTAAAAGAATGGCAACTAAGGCAAAATTATCAAATTTCGCCATTTTTCCTTTAAATGCTGGTGCGAAAGTAAGAGGGAATTTCTATATTAAAATATCTATCAACTAAATTCAGTTTTCAATAATATTCAAATCTATTTTATAGAAATTTTTAATTAAAAAGTTAAGCTGCTGAGTTTTTACAATTTTCTTTGATAAATGCAAATAAATGATTTAGAAAACTGCATTATCTCCGATGGATTTAGAAGAATTCTGGTTCAATGTCCAAAGTGAAAATCAGGCTTTTGAGGTAAAAATGTATAAGGAGATTCAGGTGGACAGGGGTAGGCCAGAGGGGTCCGAACGGGCCCGGGGGCGCGCCTTCCAAGGGCGGAAAATGGCGCCGGCCGGGCGATCGATAGCGGGGCAGTAGGCGGGGGCGGCCAGGGGGCGGCCTACCTGCGGCAGGTTGGCCGCGATTTGCCTCTGCAGGGAGTCGCGCTCCTTCTCGGTCTCCTGCAGTTTGGTCTCGTGGTCGGCAAGCCGCTCCTGCGTCTCGCGCAGACTGTCCATCAGCTTGTCGCGCTCATCGAGCATTGACACCATCAGCTGCTCGAAGTTAGGGTCGTCGGCGGCGCCGCCAAACTGGCCGCCACCCCGCTGGCTGATCGTGTCCTCCGAGATGGTCGGCATCACGTCACACATCATATTCCACATGGCGCTGGAAGTCCGTCCGAGCCTCGGACGCCTTCCGCAAACTCAGTCACTCGAGTCCCGAACGGGCGGTCGGTCCTGCTTCACTGGCCTAGGCACGCTCAACTTCGGCGCCGCGGCGCCGCACTCGCCACGCCCAACATCTCAGCTCGCCGCCGAGCGCTCCAGCGTCCGCGGGCCCAACGTTCTCGGCCTAAATCGTCCCGTCCAGCGATCTCTAAGACTCCGACCGCCAGATCCAGGCCCCAGCGGCCATACTGCGCGACCCGTGACGTCACTCGTACCTCGGTTACATGACCCGCTACACCAGCGCTGCGGCAGTCGATGGACAACTACTGAGTGAGACTCCCTTTGGCGACAACCGATTCAATGGATTGGGCAGTGAATTTTGACTTTTTTCAAACAGATTGATGGTTGGAGGCTTTCATTAAATTAAATAAAATTTTATCATTTTAAGTTTTGAATATCGTCAATGTATTTACTCCAGTCCAGTGGGTTGAAGAATTTTTGTTACATTTCATTTTACAACTTTAAGAACTCCTTTGAGAAATCCTTTTTAGTCCCCGCCCCTAACGTCACAATTTGCCAAAATTAAAAAAATTGATTCAAAATTCCCTTTCTCCGCCCATGAAAGCTGTGCAATTTTTGGCTCATTTTGGACTCCAAACCCGCAAACCTTCATTCCATCATTTTGATAAATAATATTAAAATCAAGAATAAAAAAAGAATAGAAATAAAATCCCAAAAGAGTACAATTAAAAAAATTAATCGCTGCTCCTTTCCGTACACCTTCTCTTGTTTATATTATTCAGCTCGACTGCCTCGACCTTGTTGGCCTCGACTCGCGGCTCTGTTCGACCTCAAAATTGTCAGTCAGTCCTCAACAATGAAGACTGTTCTCATAACAGGGTGCAACCGAGGGCTGGGCCTTGAATTTGTGAGACAGCTCGTCGGCTTGAAAAATCCTCCATCTAAAATTATAGCCACTTGTAGAAGCATTGACAAAGCGCAGGTAAATTAATTACATTATTTAATGAATTAAAATGTTATGTAATCTAATAATCATAGTAAATTTGTGAATTTAAGAAAAGCTGATTAAACATGATAAATTCATACATATCTTTAAAAAAATATAATTAGCTACATTAGCTACATAGTTTATGTATGTATGTATTTAAAGGCACATTAAAGAAATAATTATATTAATTATATGGAAAATATTTTATAATTTAAAATAATCTTTAAAAGAAGAATACAGAGATTCATTGTCTCTCAATATAGCGTGAATAGCAACTAATTAAAAAAAATTTCCAGGAGCTGAATGCACTGAAGAGTCAGAATCAAAACATTCACATCCTAGAATTAGGTAAAAGAGCGAAAAAAAAATATAAAGTGAAAATTTATAAATATTAAAAGTACAAACATGTTTCAATTTTTTAATTTATAACTTTCTTTCATTACATATTAATATTTGTTTTAAATTATCCTCAATTTTCTTTATTATGTTTCTAAAAATATCTATTTTTTTTTTAGATGTTACCAATTTTGACAAATACAACGAAATATCGGAGCAGGCAAAAGACATCGTTGGTGATGATGGGCTCAACGTTTTGATCAATAACGCAGGGGTCACTACCAAGTTCACACGTCTCAACATGGTGAAGCAAGAACAAATCATCGAGAACCTCATCATCAACGCAGTTGCCCCCATCATGTTTACGAAGGCAAATTAGACTTATTTATTAGAAAATATTTAAAATAAAATGAAAATTTCCCATTCTCAGGCTTTATTGCCTCTTTTGAAAACTGCCGCAGCTAACAACGCTTCGGCCCCTCTCGGTTCCAGCAGAGCTGTCATCATGAACATGAGTTCGATTCTTGGTTCCATTGAAATGAACAAAAAGGAAGGTGGCTTCTACCCTTACAGAACCAGCAAGGTGAGATGTACATTTTTTTTTAAATTTTCCAAAATTTATCTGTGGATTAAATAATATTAAACCAAAATATTTATCTAATTAATTCCAAGAAGGGTAATGTTTTTATTTTCTATTTAGTCCGCTCTGAACGCTGCTACAAAATCGATGAGCATCGACCTGAAGTCCGACGGGATCCTTACCATCAGCATGCACCCTGGTTGGGTTCAGACAGACATGGGAGGGAAGCAAGCCCCTTTGAAACCCGAGCAGAGCATCAAGGGCATGCTAGGAGTTTTAGCAGACTTGAAAGTGGAGCAAAACGGCTTGTTCCTCCAGTTTGATGGAAAGAAACTGCCTTGGTAGTTTGAAGTGAATTTAATTGCAAGGCTGATTGTATTTCTATTTTATTATAAGCATTTGAATAGACAGAAAATTTTAATTGTTCATGTTTTTTTTATGTTACAAAATAAAATAATCAATTTTCAGTCTCTGTCAATGGATGTGTGTGTTTTATTTAATATTTCAAAATCCCATCACCTGAATTGAATCTAGCACCTAGCACTTTTTAATGGTAAATTTATCATTTTGCCAGAAAAAAAACATTTGTTATAGATTTTGAGCCGCTATCTTGTCTAATTTAAATTCCATGACATGTTTATTAATAAGGAAAAAAAATCTTTTAAGGACGCAGAACGCATATTTTTGTCTATGCTCAGGTCAACGCAGGATGAAAGAGGTTGATAATAAAAGAGAATCTTCGAGAACAAAAGAAAATTGATTATTTTCAGCAAAATTATTGTGATGCATGAAAATAAAATTAATTTAATACTAAAATAATCTTTACCTAATAAAATTATTTCCTCGATTGAAGTTAGTGCAAACGAAGTTTGCTGAGCGAACATTAAATTTTCGCGCTAACTCTGTTTCGTTCTCTTTTAGCGTCCACAGTTGACCTAGAAATCTTTTAATATACTTAATTTATTTTGGCTGTTTCATGTTGGCGCTTTTGAATGTAATTGTAAAAATAGTTTGAAGGGGTTAAGCGTCGCCCTTCAGAACGACGTGGAAAATAAAACCAGTTGAGTTGTTTTTAGGTTTTTGTATCAGGCCCAAACTGAAATTAAAATACACAAAATAAATATCACATTGTAAATACAATTATAATAAATTTGTTGCGTTGTACGATTAACACTGTTGGAGAGAATTTGTTGTAAGAAATGCATGAGTGATTGTTTGTGAATTGATTGGGGAAAAGTACACGGTGGTGAGAAGAAAATGTGCTTATTTGGGGGAGAGATTTTTCACTGAGAACTGTAGAGTTATTGTTCGCAGAATGTTTCCGACAGGGGCGCTTGTTGGTGAATGTTATTATGGGATCAAAAGACAATTACCCCATGGTGGGTTCGGGGATGAAGAGAGATCCGCAGCGGGGACCGTGGCTGTTGTTAGATCGGAGAAGACGAGAAGAGCACTGCCCATGATGTGGGGTTGTTCGTTTCAGGTGGCAGTTGGAGAACCGCGCGCCACCTGGCGGCGGCTGCTACAAGGGCTTTCCCCAGACACTGGAGGTGTCAAAGTGGGGGCTGAAGTTGACCTGTGATGGTGATGAGTTTGAAGGTCAGTGGTTGGTTCGGTCGTTGGCAGCTTGCATGACGAGGAGTCGTCACAGCGAGTTATTGCTGTTGGCGAACAAGGTGTCCTTGGGCATCTATGAGGCAGAAGGGACAATCCTTGCGGCGTGAGAGAGCCAGCGGTGCAAGATTTCCAAGTCTGGAACTTTTGGATGTAAGTGGTGAGGCGCAGCGAGTCGGCCTGTGGTCACTGGGCAAGTCAGTCTTGCGGAGTTGAGGAGAGAGGTTGTTGTCTTCAGGTCGCACTGAGTTGCTGGACCTGAAGGGGGGCGAAATGGCTGCGCTGGGCACAGCGCAGTGGAGCTACCTTAGCGTGAAACCACCAGATCATAATCTAGAGATCGAAATTAAACAAATTAAAGTCAAAATAAAGGTTTCTGAATGAAAAAGTTGACAGTACCTGTTCACACATCATGCACTCTTCTGTGAAAATTTCCAAGAGAGGCACCGCATTTCTGTCGTTCCTCTAAAACATCTCTCTAACCATTGAGAGCAAATTCCACATGCCCTCAGGCTCTCTGCCTCTCAAGGGTCTCAACAAACTGCTCCACTCGGCTGCTGCTGGCGGAGCATTCGTACTAAAGTAGCTGACATCGCTACAAGAATATACATGATTAAATATGCAATATGGAATAATTAATTAAATCTACCTGAATACAATGGGTGTTGGCACACAGAACGTACTGAGACGTTGTCATGCAGGATTTTGTCCTCGAGGTACCAAGAGCTCTCATCGTTGGTGGAAGTGACTGCTGCAGTGGCAAAATGTTGATGGGCGAAGGGTGCGGCAAGAGCGCACCCTGAGCCACTTTACGGACTAGCATCCACATCGTCATCAGAGGACTTGCTGCATCCGACATTCAGCTCAAGCGCCGCTCGCCAACCATCTTCCTCCGAAAGTGCTGAGAACCGCTAGGCAGCCGTCCATCAGCCGAGCGTCCCTGCTGCTGTCCACCTAACCAGCCCAGCCGTCCAGCTAGCTTGCCTTCTCTCTCTGTGACTATCAAGCCAAAGGTTCACTTCATCGAGGCATCGTCGATCTGCAGCATCTGCAACCCAGGAGTGCATCAGTAACACTAGCCACAAGACTGTGTGAAAATTCCATGTTCCAAAAAATTAAACTAATTTAATTTCCATGTAAAATTTAGTTGTTAATATTTTATGCAATAAATTTCTTCTCTGTCAGGAGAACACATCAAAATTTTTTATATAACGCTTTTTTACATTAAAATTAATTAGCCATAATCATGTGCATAAACCTTTGGAAAAATTGAAAGAAATTTAAACTATATGTCAGTAAAATTTTCTGGAAAACCCTTAGCTGCATGCAGGAATAGAACTTCTGGATGATGAGCGGCTTATTTATTATTTCAAATAAATAATTAAATTTTTAACAATACCAATTTATGTGTATTACAAAAAAAAATAATTAAACTTTATATTTGGACTACTCTTTCTTACACTTTCATTGACGAAGAAAACGAGAAAAAAGTCAATAGAAACGTACATAATTATAATTATTTATCTAACTAAGTGTTTCTCACACTCACTCGTGGGCTCTGTCTGCAGGGTCCAAGTCCAAATTAGTAAGCATAGCTAGACAACCTTCCCTGACAAACTCTGTAGGTGGTGCAGTAAAAATCTAAGTTATCCAGCCAGCTAACGCATTTTTGTCTGGACATGGGAGCGCTCTTCTAAAAGCAATATTTCGAAAAACGCATTCGAAATCACAACAATAAATAAAAACAAAACAAACAAAATGTAGAGCTTGTTCTTTAGAGCAGACAGCAGAGTCATCTGGTGGCCCTGGTGGCAGCGCTATAATCGTGACGTCAAGAGGTGGCGCATGCGCCGTGTGGCAAACAGTCCGTCCTTCTGCTGGCGCCAAAACGTTTTAAGAGGGGTCCAGTGCAGAATTTTGCCAATTGGACGATAATTTTCCAAGTTTTTTAAGGTAAATTTCATTGATTTTTCATGGCTACCACAGTTTTTCACACAAATATCTATCCTTTACAAAGATTTTCGGCTAAATTTACATAATTCATGCGCATTTCAATGAATTCGTTATGTATAGTCGACAAGAATTTTGTAATATGCTGCTGGCTGTTGTTAAAATTCAAAAATTTGAACTTATTTCATATTTGAATGCAAAATTTTGATCACATAATTAATATTGCAGGAACACCCTGCTGAACCAAGAAGAGTTGTCGCATAACCAGTGCCCAAGAATTTTTTCAAACCATCTTCAGCAGCAAGCAACAGGATCTCAGGTCAGTTTGTTTTTATTGTATATGGGATTATTTTAATTGAAGGAAAACACATAATAAAGGCTTACTTATTTGTCATTCATTTTTAAAATTCAAATTGGTAGCAATATGGGTAGCAAATTGAGTCTTCGTCAGTCGGTATAATTAACTTCACGCCTCATGGGCCTTAGGAAACCGGTCTTTTTCATTCTCTTGCAGTTGGCAAAGATATTCGCATGTGCCGCGTCAGCATCTTCGGCTCCAGTTTGAGGGTGCATGAGAAAGCTTTTGGATCATAATAGTTAGACATTTCGTATTCGTCTCCGGATTTTTCACCGCTGTTGCTTCATTCCCTCATGTCTTGGGCAGGCTGCGGCTCGCCAACTGCCTCTGCTGGAGGGTTTTCTCCTTTTCTAGTCGATGGCTGAGATTTTGCAGGCAGGAGTGGAAACAGTAGTTGTTGCGGCTGCTGATGTTGAGGCCTAATTAGTGGATGTTTTGGTGCTACTGCTGGAACCAATACTGCTGCTCTTTTCAGGTGTTCAGTTCAAGCTGAAGAGTCACTGTCACTCCAATCTGAGATCTTCGGAACTCCCTAAACAATTTTTTCTTCAGAAATTTCGTCTCAATTTATTTGTGTTCATACATGTCTGTTGCTACTGCGTGATTTGCTACCTTCGTCCGACTCATTGGGATTAAGCATCATGTCGTTCTCGCAGAAACCCTCACTACTGACCCTACTTCTGTTTCCCTCCTGCAAAGCAGCTGCGAAGGAATGCCTACTACATGTCGCAGAGGAAATGTGTGTCAAGTTCAGGCCGTCAGCTTGCGTTGCAAATCTGAAAGAAACAATTTTAACCACAATTGTATTAAAATTTGTATTTACCTCGTGCCAGGATTCTCCAAAGCACCCTTCCTTTTCCTCACCGACACTGCGTGATGGTGGGGATTGTGTTGTGAGGTGCAGTTCAGGACGCTACTAGATGAGATAATTTGGTGAACATCTGCATGTCAGAAACAGGTGAAGGGACAGTGGTAAAGTTGACTGCCTTGAGAATATGTAGCTCCAGGTATGGGATATTCATCCCAGTGCAAGTAGCAAGCTTCCATGGCAGGTTTGAACCCACTGTGAGTTTCCATCTCAGTCTTCAGGGTGTTGCTCTTTGCCCCACTAGACTGAAGGCGCATTGGAGTCGAGTTCCTGCTTTTGGCAACCTGGTGGGAGATTTTCCGAATGATTTTACGTTATTTTAAGATAATTTTAACAAATTTTAATAATAGATTCTCAAATTAATTGGTTAAAAAAAGTTCTTCCATTTTAAAAATTATTTACCTTTTATCAACTATTTTGATGTGCCGTTGCTTAAATTGATTTTCGTAGTCACGCTCCTCAGGTGACAATCCTGGATTCAGGGCGGCACAAGACAACAATTTTGTCGCAAAGCGATGAACAGGCATGCTGTGGACCATGGCTATTGCTGTTCACATGTGCTTGCCTCCGTGACTTGAACTGCCATTTTGCAGAGCTACCGTAGTGTTAAACCACCAGATCATAATCTAGAGATGCAAGTTAAAAAGTCAAAATAAAGATTTCTGGTAGAACAATTTGACCGCGTACCTGTTCACACATCATGCACTCTTCTGTGACAATTTCCAAGAGAGGCACCGCATTTCTGTCGTTTTCCTCTTAAACATCTCTCTAACTATTGAGAGCAAATTCCACATGCCCTCAGGCTCTCTGCCTCTCAAGGGCCTCAACAAACTGCTCCACTCGGCTGCTGCTGGCGGCGCATTTGTAGTTGACATCACTGCAAGAATATATACATTAAATTTGCACGATGGGAAAATTAAAAAAAATCTACCTGAACACAATTGGTGCTGGCAAATGGAACTTAATGAGCAGGGTTTTGTCGTCGAGGTACCATGAGGTCTGGCCGTTGGCGGAAGCGCCTGCAGTGGGGTCGGGCGCGTCTTGCACCTTGTGTTGATGGGCGAACGGTGCGCCAAGAGCAGCATGTTGAGAAGCCGTTGCGCAATCGGCAGAATTTGCTGTGGCAGCTCTCGCTGATTAGGTTCTTTGCAAATTCCTGCAGCTGCTCCCTCTTGCTCCGGCGCCCGTAGACACTTGACGACGGTGGTAGTCTGTGGCGTATCTGAAACAACAGTATATTCAACATTATTCACATTTCGGGACTCGCACATTGATAATAATAAAATTTCGTTCAATCAGATTTAGGCTACACTCATAGTTAGGGTCTCCAAGTTTAAATATAACACAACTTAGAGTCTGAAAAATTCACCACCATAAATGGCTCATAGTAGTAAAAACTTTGGCGGCGACGCCCAAACAATTTATATTTTGTGCTAATTAAGAAAAGTTGGGTAATTGACCCGAAATTTAAAAAATAATATATAATTATAAGTCAACTAGTTAAGTATTTATTGTTAGTATTTGGAAACGCCTAAAAATAATTTGTATTAGTTCATAGTTGATAACATTAGCTATAATTTTTTTAAGGTCAGGCCAAGAAAAAGTCTTTTCCGACTGTGCTCTTTTTTGGGCAATTGAGTAATAATATGCACCGCCCAATTTTATCTCTTTATTTATTTTGGGTTCAAAGTTATTGAAAAATCAAGCGACACTTAGCTGGCATTTTTTTTGTCGCATAACAGATGACGCTGAAAAGCTGATTGAAAGGAAAAGATAAAAATCTGAAAAGGAGCTTAAAATACGGTTGGCCGGGTTTGAGATATTCAGATTTTTTTTGAACTTCTGATTTTGAAAAATAAAAAAATAGTATTATGAATTCGATTGGAAAAGAAGTATTTTAAATTAGGCAAAACGTGCATCACTCAAGATGAGCAAGGTGCCTACTTGCAACTCTTGCAGGCGTTTTATTTCCCTTCTATGCTCAAAGCATTATAAGCAGAAAATATACAAATTTATTAAATCATCATACAAGCAAATAAGTTAGAATTCTAAATTTATCTCTTGTACAACTCATTCATTGCGACAGCCTATCAGCAGCCGTCGCGCAATGGCATCTTCCTGCGCACCTCTAGGCGGTAGAATCGCCAGATAAAATAAGAATATTCAGTCTCATCGCCCTTAAAAATAAAAATTATTTGTTTTCTGATTGCTGTGCTCCTAACTCCAACTTGGACATTTTTTTATCACTGTTTCTTTTAGAGATAAAATGTAAAATTTATATTTTTACGCCAGAAATAATTCGCTCAAAAATTGGTCAGACATACAAAAAAACCTGTGCCTTAAGAGGCAGGTAAATTTTTCATTGTCATCCTTTTTGGAAGAATGTTAGGAAAAGAACTCTTTCTTTGCTTGGTTTTTCAATTTATTTTTTATTTTTGGTGGCTCTTCAGATAAAACTTTCCTTCATTCATTGAACGAAAAAGTATTTTTTTTTTCAAGCTGGCGCATAGTAGAGCCCTGATCTGATGCACAGAATTTTCCTTTTTCCCAGCTTTTGTTTGCACAGAATTTCCAGCAATTGATAATTTCTTCAAAATTAATGCTCACTTTTTGACTGGATTTTGCGAATTCCCTCCCTTTAATAGTTTGTTGATTCAAATGAAAAGAGTGTCAAACAATTTGAAACAGACTGGCGAGAATTGCGACCGTCTCTGCAGACTCCGATTCCCCTTGAGATACCACCTCTGAAATTATTCAAACTCATACTGCTGTCGCTTTTTTCCCTTTTTTGCCCTTGATAAACTTGGGAATTGTTATTCCCAACATTTTTCTCTACTTGTTTCTCTACCTGTTATTTCCGCAACGATTCTTAAAATTTCAGGCGAAACATTTGGTTTTTTTAACCTGTGATCATATCTCTTGATTTGAATTATTTTTAGGTGAAAATTTAAGCACGTCGTCATACTTGCTATCAAAAACTGTGAGGCCCCCCCCCCCCCCCTATCATTATTATTGGAGTGGAATTTTTCTTTTCAAGCAAATTGCTCTACTCTTTATGTCTCTGGCAAAGCTTCCGAGGTCAATTTTGAATTGCTCAAAGTTGGCTATGTATTTTTCATTGGCGTTACGAAGTTCAGTTTTAAGCACATTAAAAACAACGGAATTCTTTCTTGGGTTCTTGAGTCAAATTCAAAGCACAAACCACACAGCACTTCAAGTTTGTCCATAAATTCCTTTTTGTCATAGCTATTTTTTTCCCTAAAATTGAACCAAGTTTTCACAAAATTTTAATTGGACTTTGCCAATTTTTCATAGACAAATTTCCAGATAATGACCATTTTGCTAAATGTTCACTCTATAAATTAAAAATCTAAAGTTTCTAACTAAAGTTTAAAATTCTTGATCATGTCATAATAATAGTGGAACGTAATATAGAGTGGTTAAGGATTTTAATGAACAAATTGAAATTTGATCGACACTTATTTATGTCAACAGGCACTCGTGAGTGGCTTTCCCTTGAGTGGCAGACCATAAGTAGCCCGTATCCAGAAGCCCAGGCAAGACAGCCGTGTGTTGTGTAGGAAGTTTTCCAGTAAGAGAGGTATTTAGTACAATACACTATTTTTTCAATTGGTTCGCTTAAATTATTGCTTTTATAATATTGGAGTTTTTCACCCTTTGAATGATGGCTAGTTTTGAATTTATTAAATAATTTTACCAACTATTTTTATCCCACCGCGGGGGAAATTATATTTTTAATGTAGCGCATTGTACGATGTGGCAATTCCGCTACGAGTTCTTTTTTATTGAAAACAAGGAGCACCGTCATTATTTACATCAATTTCATTGTCAAAATCATAATGACATTCAATTACTTATGATGTTAAAATTCTCAAGCTCTTAAAAGAAACCTGAATTTTATACGGAAATAGGTGCACGCACATTTGACAGAGGAGGACCAACAGATTCATCATTTTTCTCACATTTATTTTCAGTGAATAATAAATAATTTGATCAAGATGAAATTTAAAAAATAAAATGTGATTCAGATGATTGTCATATTTAAAAAAAAAAAAATTAATTATTTTTAATGAATTGATATGTCGTCGCCGTCTTTTTAGATATTGAATTAGGAAAACAAATTAGTTATATAATACAATTAATTTAAAAAATTTAACGTTAACGCATGGAGCCTGTAAAATAACACCGCATCAAAGTTAATTATTCTTCATTCAGCCAGTACCTCTTACGCCTCTCTCAGTTTCGTTTTGTTATTATTATTTTTTATTTTGCACTCTCATAGAACACGTTATTTCATTTGAAATTCGATCTTCTTCCAATTTCTTTAGTCTTAATTATTCAAAATTAAAATTATCACTGCCTATTAAGTTTGAGGTTTACTACCCACGCGCCTCCTTCCTCTTAATAATGATTGACATTTGGTGCAGTACGCGGACGACGCCACCCTCTGGCGCGAAATTCGGAAATCTCCGGACGCCGATCTGGTGAAAGCGGACCTGGACAGTGTCCGGGCGTGGTGCAAAAACAACAGTTCCTGAATCCGACCAAGTGCGTGCGCGCGCTGAGTACAAAATCCATCCTCGCGTATGTCACCGACGAGCGCCTCCCTGGCGTTTAAGTGTCCAAAAAGCTGCGGTGGACATCGCGCTCGGCAAAGTAGCAAAGGTGCTCTCGTTCGCGGAGTTCAAAACTGCAATAAGCGCGTGAAAAAGCTGGCCTGCCAGACGATTGTGAAATCTCGCCTGTTTTCCGGCACCACAGCAGCACACACATCAGTGGTGAAACTGACAAGAAAGTAATGGCGAGAATTATTAATTGATGCGTAAAATTGTGACGTCGAGAACTGAATTTATACCCCTAGAAGTGCTTCAAAGCTTGGGCGGTAAAGTTGTTAATTCCAAATCCTAAAATCCTAAATCAGTGGGGATTTCACTGCCATTCATGAATAGGAATTGTTTACATTTGATATGTTTTTTCGTTCATGGCACGAGCTTGGCGACTCTGTTTCATTTGTGGAAACACTTATGTTTTAAAATCGGGACTAAGAGTTTTAGTAAACTGTTTACCAGAGGTGGCTGCCAATTCCCTCTAATTGTAATTTTTACTTGATTTTTTTTGTGGACTTATGAGAAAAAAAAGAATAGACATTAAATTGAAGCTTGGATCTCTCCGGTCTCTACCGAACAGAGTTTAAAAAATCTTTTTTCATTTAATTTCTGCGGTAGCGTAACTATCACAGCTGATAATCATATGATCGCAGGTAGTAAAAGAACATTGTTTTTTTCCTGAAAACTATTACTTCATAAATACTATTATTTATTAAGAATTATTCCCTCTTGTAATTCTCACAATTATTTTTTATTTTATGTTCATCGTCACTCAATATTAAGGAAAAGTCCGAAGTACATTTACTATTATGATCTCAAATTTTGAAATCTTCATTAGAAAAATTAAGATCTCATAATAATGATTGCGACTTTAGAAAATAGTTTGAAGTTTTTTATTCTTAAAAACGTGCAAATTTGAAATTTTACGAATGACATATTGTGAATTTTCAGTGAATGCAGTTCATAGTTTGGATTTGAGATATCTTTTTATATTACTTGCTCATTTTTGTGCAGTTTTTGTGTAATGAATAAATCTGTAAAAAAAATGCATCTATGAATTGAGTTTTATAATAATTATACACTCGGTGGACTTGCGTAATGAAAATACGAGTTCGGCAAAATTTTTAGCACAGAACGCGTTGTTGTAGCTTATTTAAACACTTGCAGAATGTAAATTCGAGTTTATTTGCATTGCAACTATAATTGTATTGTCACCCAGAAACAGGTCACTCCATGGTTTGTACCTCTCTTGTCATTGAATTTTCATTTGATAACGTTATCTTGGCTCTGTGGAGCAAAACAATATTTCGGGCATGCAAATAAAATCTTTTCTTCTATTTATTGTCCTTTGCATGCACCAATGTTCCCAACGAAAGATATTCACAAAATTCAAGCTGCTGTTGCGACCGTTGAAATCTTTTTGATGATCATGATGATGATCGAGCTGCTGACTTGCTGAGCGACAGCCTTTTAACGGAGTCCCGCAATAGGGCCGAAAAGGAACAAGGCCGAAAGCCGAAAAAAATAACCGATAATCGTGAGTGCGTTCAGCTCAGCGAACATTCAAACTGACAATGAGGATCCTTTGCGTGCT